TTTTTATTTTATATTGTATAAATATTCGATTGATAAAAATGACTAATCTTATGATGTACACAAATGCATATCGATATGTGCATATTCTATTTAACAATAATGAAAGAAAGAAAGATTTAATCACTAAGATATTCAGTTTTGATATAATTTCACATAAGGACTAAATGAGCAACTTGGTTGCAAGAACCTCGAAATATAATCCTGGAATTTTCTTTTCTAGATGTTTGGCAATTGGAGAGGAGGCAAATGTGTGCAAGTTCACCATCGAAGGAAGTCAAATATGGCCTTATTAATCTCAAGGAAAGGTTCCATCAAAACTTTATTTGCCTGAACAAAACAAAGCAGGCAAAGAACATCAAATGACAGAAATATGTAATAAATCCACTACGAGCCCCCTTTCTCCCCTCAACATGGTCACGTGTCTACCACAAACTCTTCCTTTCATCAAAATCAGCTGCCCCCTTTATTTATTTTTTATTTTTATTATTTTCATTCATTATGATATGATATTTTTTCCATATCAAAAATAAAATTTGACTAAATACATACATTTACCGTTGAATTTTGCATTTTTATTATTGTGTACTTAAATTTGTAAATTTTGATAATATTACACGTCTTCTGACAAATACCAATAACTTTTAAAGTTTTTGACTTTTATCTATAAAAATATCGAATTGATATATAGTTAGCATGACTAATGAAACAATAGATTTCATAAATTTCAATTTTTTAATGAATGTTTAATTGATCTAATTTTGCAAGTTCAAGCATAAAATAATTTTACAAATTGAAGTGTTTAATTGATATAATTTTATAAATTGAATTGTTTAGGTCAAAACAAAAGTACAGAGTGCCGTAAAATTAAAATAACAAACTTTCAGAAATGAAATTATGTATTCAGCCAAATTTACTCATAATATAACTTCAAATAATTCTCTCAACAATATTTCTGTACAATAGGTAAACCCATTAGGTCTTTTCAAGCACTTTACTTCATCTTTCAATTCTATCACGCAAATTGAAGACATGTAAAATATTATTAGAGTCATCTGTCTGCCATTTTTGGCTTGCAATTTTGCTTTGGTCTTGTTTATTTTAGCAAAAAGACCTCTTTGTGTCACTGAATATTTTCTAACACCTATTACCTATGCTTTTTCACTGTTTTGAGCAAGCATTTTCTTATATGCCATTGTAATGGACATTTTTGCCTCCCACATTAATGTCACCATTAAGTTTGATAGAAAGAAAAATGGTTATTGCGCTAAAAGTGCCTTAAAAAATAAGGGTATTTCTAGTGTTTAAGGTAACCCTAAAACAAAGTGGCCAATGGAGATATATGTCAACTTAAAAAGCCAAATAATAGTTATCTAAGTTCTGAAACTTTTTGGTAATGCAATGGAAAAGCTTTATGAGACAAGAGAGCCTAAAAACCACTTTTAACCAATTCAGCAAATTACGTAATGAAAATGAAGATTCTTAGCAACATGGGTGGGAAGCCTAAGGCCTTATCTTGCTAGAGTAATAATGGAAAGTTGAGATTTTGGAAAAGAAAAGAAAAAAAAAAAAAAAAAATGAGATTTTGGAAAAAAGGAAAAGAAAAAAAAAAAAAAAAAAAAGGAAAGAAGAAGATTAGGAAAAAAAAAAAAAAAAAAAAAAAAAAAAGGAAGAAGAAGATAGTGAAATCAGCCTAACCTTCTATGCATGTCATATCAAGCTATAGTTCTTTTCATATATCTTGTAGCCCAAAATCAAAAGATTTTTCCTTAGTCTTATGAGCAAATTATATTGAGCAGAAAAAGTTTCCCATACAAATCTAATATTCAAGATTTTTGTCGAGAGGCAAATAAATAAATATATATAAATATATATATTTTTAAAAAGAAGCAATTTTAGAATACTTGTTAAATAGTTTAATTTGAATTTTTTATAATTATGAAATTCACCTTTAAAAATAAATTTATAAATTTAATTGACAATTTTTTCGTATTGGTTCTGTTAAAATCAATTTAAGTAGCGGCTTAGAGAAGCAAGTGAAATTTTGTATCCATACAGAATTTCTAATCTACTTACTAATAAACATGTTATAATAGGTTACCGGATTATTAATCTATTATTTAAATAATATTTTTTACTTTTTTAATTACTGTACTAGTTTTTTTTTTTTATTCTTTCCAAATTTGAAGAGTTTTCATTTTAATTTAATATTAAAAATACCTTTTATATTATTTTAAAATATCTAAAAAATATAAAAACATGAAATTCTTGTTTCTCCATAGCATATTACCCAAATTTATCAGTCACCTGGTTTGCTTCTCTATAGCAATGTTGAATCACGATGAAGGAGAGTACGAAATGGTTGCACAAATATTAGGTCTCTCATTCATAATCTAATGACTGCGAACTATGCTCTATTGATGTAGAATTAATAGTAACATGCATTATAGTTTCACCGAAATCAATTAATTTTCAAAAATCAATTAATATGATAATCAATTAATTTTCTTAGAATGCATATGATATGGGAATCTAGGCAGCTTCTTCAGTCCTTTCAATTGGCAATAGACCAATCAAAAACAAGTTGGGAATGGAGAAAAAAAAAAGTTTTCAATTGTATAAAGAGGCTTTCTAACGCTACTGGTAAGAAATTCTTTCATGTTTCCTGTTTAGTTAGAGATAGGAAATGTAATTCCACTGGTTTAGGAGTTACTAACGTGGGACGGACAAAAAAAATGCTGATTTGGCTTTACTTCATAGGGTGAATTTATAGGTAACGTGATAGACCGATTAAGTCTGCCTAAGAATTTCTGTTTTGATTGTACATAGAAAAGTCTAAGTCAAGGTCTCTCTCTGCATATTTGCTTGTCAAGCATGCTATTTTCCTGTTTCCCACTAGCTACTTGTATTCTTTACTGCTACTTTCAACTTTCAAGACTTGGGATTGTGGCAAACAACAGATATTGAGACACCCACTGCATATTTTGGCTGTCCAAAAAATTTGTAAAAAAAAAAAAAAAATAGAGAAAAAGAAGAGATTCTGAAGCAAATAACATAGTGGATTCTCCCACCATCTCTTATAATATAGACATTATATGCTCAACTCATCAATTATATTTACAGACTGTAGGATTGGTTGGTTGCTTCTTCATCAATACAAAGCTATATATGGTAATTCATATACTGTGTTTGCCCTGTCATACAAGCTTTAAATGGAATATGAATCAATATGTACAAAATCATACACAACATATACCTAATAAGAATATTCAGTCTTTTTTTTTTTTTTTACAAGACAGAAACTGAATGTATATTTTATTAAGGGCATGGTCGGTAAAATTAACTGTTTTGGTAACTATTAACTGTTTTAGTAGCGTCAGTTGCTAACTGTTTGAGTACCTATGTACAAAATGCTAAAAGTTAAACATAACATGAGTAATATTTTATAAAACACTATATCAACTTCTAAAAGCTAGTTCAAACGTTATGTTAATTACTGAACATTATAAAAAAAATAGCATTTAGTGTTTTGATGGATCAAAACGTTAAAAATCACTTAAAAAGTTATTGTCGGACGCGGTCTAGATTTTGATAATTTTGATAAGATATGCTAATCCACAAATGATATAAGATCTGGAAACATCAACTCCACACATCGCAACATTGGAAGCACATTTCAGCTTCTTATATATTTTGTGAAGTTATTAAAATTATTCTACAGTAGATATATATTGTTATACTCTCTTTGGTAATAGAATAATGTGTCTTTCACATGCAGATTCCATTCGTGGGATTCACCATTTATTTATGATAAGCCCTACGTAGCATATAATTAATAATTCTTGTTTCAATACTAAAATATGTAGTTAATTGGTAAGTATATTTATTTTATTTTATTAATGATCAGAGGTTTCTTTTTTTTTTTTTTTTTTTTTTTTTTTTTTTTTTTTTTTTAAATTTTCGTTTAGTTGAAACTTGAAATGATAGTAATTGCTCATTCTAGTAATTGTTTGAAGTGTCATAGTGACCCTAATTTGAATCGATGGAAAGTGAAAATTGTAAAATTTTCGAAATCTAGATATAAAATCTAAAAGGATTATAAATTTATGAAATTTTTTACATTTATTGTTTACTTGGAAAATAAAATTATTGGATTTGAATGATATTTTTAAAATAAAATCAAATGGTTTTAATTCCATCACTGATAAAAACCCCATTGTTAATTTAAAAAAATGGAATTAAGATAAGATTTATTTTCCTTCCAAAATGGTGGAATGAAAATTAATAATGAAATTTATCAATTTTTTGAATTATGGATAATTTTTTTTGACCTAACAAAGGAATATAATAAATGCATAAAATGTTTAAATTCCCCATCTAAACTACCTTTATATTAGTAATTTTTTTTTATATATATCAATGTGTCTAAGATGTACAGCAAATATTGTGATCACATTATGTAATTTTCATAAATGTATTTATCACAATCACTTTTTTTTTTTTAAAAAAAAACAAGCCCTTCCCGAAAGCAATTGTTACCTAAAAGAAGTTAGAGCATCGTAGTCACTAATACTGTAATGATAAGAAAATTAACCAATAGACAAACCGACCACACACTTCAATATAAATTTTAATTAGAGTTTTAAAGGTCATATCAGAACAACATGACGTGTTAATGTTGTTATGTAATTGTGCAATGTCTTAGCAGAAGGAGACATGGAGGTTCAGAGTCTATTTAAATTAGCAGTCGTTATTTGGCATCTTATATTCTTTTAAGCATTTGGTAATACGGTAGATTATTAAAAGAATAACAAAAGAGAACATTGATTCAGTGTACGAAGCATTCTATATTTACGGATTTTAAAAATGATTGTTCTACATATCATTTCCCTATTTTCGTAGGTCGAATTCATAACTTCCAAATCACAAGTAAAGTAACAGACTGATAATATTAACTAGTTCTCTAGTTCAATCACAGATTTTGCAATGTGAAGCCAAGAAGATGAGAAAAATTTGCACTCTAAATTAAAAACCAAAGTTATAGAATTTTGCTGGTTTTTTGTATTACAATCAGAAATCAGAATCAATAACACTTTACAAGTAAAATTTGCCAGTATCTATGTCTATAGCTATATATCTAAGCTTCTACAAGCTACAGCAAAAATATGAATGAAATACTGAATAAATTTACAAAATATGGAACTTACTCTCTGCAGATATGCTTAGTGAGTATGATGAGTGTTATAAAAATACCGTACGAACAGAGATAAATTGATCTGTTGGTCTCAGTAATCATGTTCAAGCCACAAAGATGATGAACACCATTAGGAAAAATATTATGACAGCAAATATCTTGATTAAAAGCCACCTGTTTGATGATATTTGATTAAGATGCCTCAATAGAGAATTGCGAGCACCTTCAACGTTGGCCAAGGACTCATCCATGTTATCATCAATCCTGCGTGAGTCAATCAAGCATTAATGCAACCAGAAATATAAATGAACTATTATGCAAGGGATTAATGGCCAAAAGAACCTGATCCTGTTACAGATTTCAATTGTGGCTCTCTCCAAGTATTAATTATATTATCTAACTTTCATTTTGATTCAATTGTGGCCAGCTGTAGGATGTTGAAGGTTCAATATCCGCCAGTGCCTGGCTGGTGGTGGTATGAGAAACCCCAGACTGAGGATCCTATGCTTGCCAAAATTGAAATAAAATGAAAGTAACTAGAAAATATATGAACAAAAGCACCGGCTAAAATTGAAAATCTGATCAAAGTTCTAGGTCTTCCAGACATCACCCTTTCTCATAATAGAAATCACAAGATAGATGGATCAAGAACTTTTTACTTCTAAAGTCCCTAACATCATATATCCAAAAGAATAAGCGGACCTGATGGCAAGCTCCCCTTGCTGTGCAACCACTGTAGCTAAATGCGTAAAAATTCCGCCAAGTTCTGAAATTGTAGATTCCACATTGTGAAGAGCAACAGCTCGACTTTGAGTGTAGTTTTCCTGCCTTGGAACAACCTGCTGTAACATGGACATTTCCATATGGTGGGAAGGAGTGCTGTCCACAGCTGCCCTGCGTCTGTAATATTAAGGTTTAAAGCAAACTAAATCATTTTCAGGAAAGGCAAAACCAAACAGAATTAACAAGGAACAGTCATCACTAATAAAAAGAAAAGGATTGTCAATGGAGAATCGGCTTGGTGAGTAAGCTTGTCAAGTGTCAACCTTATAATTTTGAAGCCTTGCAAAACCTGCCAACTTAGAACTTAGCACATGGTATCAATATCAACAATTCCTAAACCATCAGTTTCACTTCCACTAGAAATGCCTCTCTGTAGCTGACTATGCTTTTGAATCGAAGAAATTGTACTTTAATGTAAGATCTACAGAAACCATTTTATTTCACAAAGTTGAATGACTAACAATGGCAGCTGGTGTCCACTCTAAAGCTAATTCAGATGCTGGGGTCGACATTGACAATCAGGAAGCTAGTATAGTTTGACATGTGGATAGAGCAGAATTAGCACCACTATACCTCCCAAGGAAGAAAAGCCATGATGTTATCAACTGGGTCAAATTTCATGTTATTCCTTGAAATATATAATGCAGACTGCTTAAGCAAGGCAACACTGTTTCCAAGGGTCTCAAAACATCTGCAGGAAAAGTACGAAAGGAGATGCTCCATGCTCCTGGTTCATATTTTTGGTTTTATGTGTTTACTCCCATGCTCCATTTAATTTCTTTTGAAGGAAAATATGCCGTCTTTTCGCATCAATTCATGAATTTTTGTCTTCAATGAAAAGAAAGTTTCATAAAGAATAAAAGAAAAAAAAAAAAGGAAAAAGAAGAAACAACCCACTTTAGGAGAACTTGTGTGCTCCAATGAGTGTTGACATGTTCAACGGCTCAATGGAACCAGAGTAAAATGATGTTCCTAATAATAATGCACACAAGTATTATGAATTAGAATTGTCAATTTAAAAGTTCATGAATTAGAATTTGTAAGAGCCATGAACACCACAGTAAAGTCAAACAATGTAGTCAAATAACATAAAACTTGATATATGAGAGGTAAATCATAGCACGCAGAGTTGTGTAAAGCGTACCTCAACTGGTTGCCAACTTGAACACCATTGGGTGGCAATCTGGTTAAGAGAGGAAAGGCAGATGAATCGCTATTCAGGAAACTATGATTCTAAAAACGACATATATAACTTATGATTCTTAAAAACGACATATATATATATATATATATATATAATATATATATATATATATAAGAAAACAACAAGGAACCATAACCCAAAATATTTAAGGAAAATAAGAAAACAACAAAAAAACAATTAATTCTTAAAACATATAAGAAACAACAAGAACCATAACCAAAATATTTAAGGAAAATAAGAAAACAACAAAAAAACAATTAATCTTAAAACATGTAATGATACAGAGATTTCAATCAGCCAAAATTCTTATAGTAGAGATTCAAGCTGGGCAATAGCATTTTTTATTTTGGTTGGCAATTACTTTGAAGTTGCTTTGATCACGATTGCCTTATAAGCTCTAAATTAAGCTAACCACACACCTATGGATATAAGGAATTAAAGAAGTATGTTGGCTTACATAACTAGTTAAGGAAAAGTTTAATTTAACCACAAGATTACGTTGATCAAAACACGAAAACCCAGGACAGTGACACATTTTAAGCATGGGAAATGTTTACCTTGTTAACAGCTAAACTAAAAATTAACTAGGAGCAGTAAAATATAAAAATATATCGGAATGACACTTTGTCCAGTTTCACATTGACAGCATATGACATAAGGAATTAGCATACTTAAAATTTTCAAAGATTCAACTTACGCAGAGGGCTTTGAATTGCCGAATGCATTTGCTGAATTTGACCAAGGTGGAGGCTCAGTCATGGGTTTTGATTGACTCATAAAAGGATTCTCTCTTGAAGCATTTGAGGAGAATATCTGTTTCCTGTTTTCATGAGCCTTCATATTCTGTGCGTGAAAAGAACCAGAGAGGTAGAGAGGGACATCAGTCAGCAGGTTGTAAGTAAGCAAAGTAATAACAATTATTTTTAGCACTAGCCTCTGTTCTAGTTGTTAACACATCTTGAAGCTCTTTAGTAGCTCCCATAAGTTTGCTCTTCAAGTCATCGCAGACAGCCGTAGAATGAACTACTCTATCCTGAGAATAATTCCCATCAGCTATTTCCATATTTTGAAGAATTTGCAGATCTGAGAGAGCTGTATTCATTGTTGTAATATCATTCTTTATCAGGGCAGTTAATTCCTGTATTTCAACAGTCGGATCATCAAACATTGATGACCTCTTTGCAACTGCACAATGACGCAGAAAATTGGATCCCAAGTCAGCACAAAGCTATCCAGTTACTGAAATCTAAATTCATCTTAAATCCAATAGCCAACAGCAAGAAAGACAACAAATACTTGACCTCAGTCTTCTTCTCCTATAAACAGAACAGTTTCTATTGCTTCAATTGAGTAAAACAAAATAAAGCTAAAAAGCCAGTTTTCTATAGCAATAGAAAATAAATGGGCTTTCAAAAATGCGTTACTCTGCCAGCTTATTAAACAAAATCAGGAGCATTCTTAAGATGATATCTCAAAAAGCTCACAAATCGAGTGTTTTACAGTTAAAATCAGGCAATAAAACAAAATCCATCTTCTTTTACTATCCACTGCTTAAACCCAATAGCCTCATATCAAAATTAAGTCTATTTAAATCAGCTTAGCCATCCAACAACGTAATTACGAACAAATAATCCTAAATCTTGAATCAACCAAATTAGTACCTTTCTTCTATTTACACCAATCTTAAAATGGTTATATGTACAATTTTCAATCTTTAACCAGCTTCAACTAAGTTACTTCGACTTAACTACTTGTGCTACAAAAGCAGCTCCTAACTCTTTTTAGTTCATATCTTAAACGAGAGTAAAAAATTCAAAAAGAAATAAATAAATACAGAGATAGACAAAAAGGAGAGTTTACGTTTGGCAAGCCGAGCGATCTTTTGAGAGGTTTCGTGGATGGCCAATCCGATCATAGAAGCCTTTTTGTTGAACTCGGATCTTGAATATAGTGTCGACAACGTCTGTGGTTTTGAAGGAGACCGATCATTTTCTTGATTAACAGATGTGATTCCTCCGATTTTCTTCAGAGTTTGGGTTAGTGATCGGAACTCCGCCGTCCGATCTCTGAATGTATAGGCCATCCGATGAGACGTTGCAAATGGCTGCCTCTGGCAGAAATGCATTTTTGGTTAGTTATACGTTAAGTCGTTTCGGCAGGTATTGAGGGCCAGCCTGAAAATGGGCTATACTTGGGCTGTGTCACCATCCCCGAATAGAGCATGACCTGGGCCTGGAAATGGGCTTAGGCAGTATGTATAAGTAAAAAACAATATGCATGCTGGAGATGGTAATTGGTAACCAATGAATGAAGTGGGCTTAGGCCTCATATTATGGTATATCATATTACTTAATCAAGTATCAATCTCTTTCCACTTCTTCTTTCTGACAATGAATTCTCTATATCTGTGTCCTTGCTACCGTATCAAACCAATCAAAATGTATATTTATTTTCCTTAAACCGTAATATTTCTGACAGTAAAAAATTTTAAAATATAATAATATGTAAATGATTCAAATAAGTATACACCATCCTCTTTAAAAAACAATCAAAGAGAAATAATATATTTAAAAAATTATTTTACTTTCATTGAAATTAACTAATAAAGTCTAATAATAAAGTGTTCAATCATATTTTAAAAAATTCAGAACATAATAAATTAAAAGAATTTAAATCTTATTTTTAATAGTTGAATTAAGGTTTTTTATTTACCTTCTAAAAAATAATATAACATGAGAACATATGATTAAAAAATTATTAATTACAAAAATTGATGGACAATAATATTATAAGTCATACAACTTGCGTTACCTTCACGGCTTCACCTACAGCATATTCATAAATAAAAAAAAAAAAAAAAAAAAAAAGCAATAATGATTTTTAAAAATCTCTATTTTCAATAGTTTGATCCATGTCTCCATAGACTGGGTTTAGACAAATTTTATTGTTTTTTTTCTCAAGGTTCTTGCAGCCATTGTTGAAGAATATGCAACTGACATAACCTTGCTTGGATTTTGAATGTGTATCCCATTTGATGTGCAATTGTCTAGAAAGAAACAAAACCAATATATCACAATTAATTTCTGCCACATGTTGACTGAGTTTTATGATAGTTTCAAAAGGAAGAGGAAGATTAAGCAAATGGGAATATTTAAAAAGAAAGAACTTGATGAGTTGTGAATTTAGATTCAAGGCAGAGAAGCCTTCCACACTGGTTTGGTTCAAGCCAAAGTAGAAAGATTTCACTTCTTTCTCAAGTTAAAATCGAAGCCCTTTCTTGAAGATTTCACCTAACCATGTCAAATGAAGCGCAGAGAACAAACTGTCTGGGGCAATTCCTCAAACAGTTGGTGATTGTCAAAGCATAGAAATCCTTAATATGCAAGGTAACTTCCTTCAAGGACCCATTCCCTCGTCCCTTTCTTCCTTGAGAGGTCTCAAACATTTAGACCTGTCAAGAAACAACTTGTCAAGAAATATTCCAAAAGAGCTAGAGAAACTTGCCTTTTTGCAATATTTGAATCTCTCATTGAACAATCTTGATGGTGAAGTACCCAAAAGGGAGCATTCAGTGCAAGTGCATTTGCACTTAGTCAGAACAAAAATCTTTGCAGATGTATCCAGGAACTGCATTTGCCAGCATGTCCCGCATAACATGAAGAAAGGCATAAAAAATTTCCCATTGTGATAATCCTTTCTGTAACCATTGGCTTAATTGTGTTTTTCATAACATTGTTCTGCCTATTTTGTTGGAGAAAGTCAAGAAAGAACCCCACGTCAGTAGAATCAGTAACTTTCATAGTAGGTGGCTTCCTTGAATTTCATACAAGGATCTGTAACTAGCAACCAGAGAATTCTCTTCACACAACTTAATTGGTCAAGGAAGTTTTAGCTCAGTGCATAAAGGAAGCCTTGATCAACAGGGAGGAAGTTTTACACTTAAAAAGATATGCACAGTATAAGAGAAAAATTGTAATCGATACTTAATATTATATGAAAAGAAAATAAATAAACAAGCAGATATCAAACTAGCAATAACATAAAAATAAAAATTAGAAATACTGAATAGAGAGGGTGCATTGAGCGAAAATACCAAAACCCAACCAAATCATTGCAAAAAATAAAAAAAAAACACTCAATTTATATTTAAAAAAAGAATGCTAAATAAAACGAGTGCTTTGAGCTTATTTTTCAGTTGGGCTTTGTATAAATACATATAGAAATATAGAATGCTCTACGGTGGTTTGATTTCATGTTATTTATGCGATTTTATAAAAGAAAGGAAAAGATTTGGAACCCAGTAACCCGAATCAGTGTTATACTTGGAATGAAATGTCGTTCACCCAAAATCCAGTAGGAAAAAGACGCGGGAGATAACACTGAACATAAACCCAAATCGGCACGGCACCATTATATCGTTGCGGATCCACCGAAATTTCTTTTACAGGTACGCTGGTTTGAATGGGGCGAGGAGGGAAGGAGCACGAAGAGGAGGTACCGTAAATTGTTGGTCTTTGGCATGATCACCTCATTGGTTTAAAAAATTGGAATATTTATAATTTTTATTTTCATACCCATGCAGGACGGCGTTCTGGATCAGTTTCTCACTCACATAAAGGTAGATTATGTTGTGAAAAATATTCTCTTGGAATTTTTATTAAAAATTGATGCTAAAAGGTTTTAGCTAAATTATTCTTTTGCAAAATTCGATCTTTAATGGTGTTAATCTATACTGAAATTTAAATGTAAGGTGAAATAGGAGTTTTCTTTTAGATTTGATAGAATTCCATAAATTGAGATTATTCCGGAGAATTGAGTTTTTTCTTATTAGAGATCAGTACCACTTTCATTTTAAGAGATAAAAGATTCAAACAAGATTACGAGTATGCATATCATACATATATTTTTGAAACTTTAGGAATCTAATATCAGGTAATATATTTATAAGAGGACTCTTTGACAGATCAAAATGCCACATTCATTTACATCATTTTCATGTTTTGCTTGACTTATTTTATGTTCATATATATAATCTTAAGAATTATAATTGTTGCTTGCAACAGGTGATAGCCTTACAGCGGATGCCACAGCCGTATCTGGCTTTAAACGATTCAGTCGCTGGCTTGGAGTTGGAGGTGGGTCAAGTGAATATGACGAAGATAATAAGTACCGTAGTCCTTGGGCGGCTAAAGGGGGAGCTCTCCACTGTGAGAGTCTTCAAAGAATTTATTATCAGGTATGCTTGTTGAACATTTTGATGATTATGTTTACTTACCAGTACAGGTAGCAATGTGTACGCATGCTACTTAATTTATTGCATAGTTGTTTTTAATTAAAAGCTAAGGTATTCATAAAGAGGAACTCATCTTTAAGATTTAGAAGCTTGACATGCTTCTTAATAAATTGAAAGCTTATACAAACCAATGAACTTTAGTTGACCTAGCTAGAATTATTTCGATCACGCATTGATCATTCTTTATTCTCGTGTTGCTGAATCTTTGTGGATCCCTAGTGGCTGTGTTAAGGACTTTTAAATTTATTTTAGTTATAATTCCTATACTAGTATTTCTTGTAGTAAAACATTCGTTGTTTTCTGTGAGGTAGCACATGCATTATGTGGTCACTGGTTATGGATTTAAATAGGACAAAAGCAAACAAAATGAAGGGGAAAAGTGTTGGGACATTTGTGTTAACTTGTGGTTTTTTAAAATTGATTTTCATCTTGTTTTTCTTAGTTTGGACTTATATCCTTTTGTTGGTATTTTTAATCAGAACCTTCATTCCTCATAATTCTCTTTTGTTCCAAGGCCTGTAATGCATTTAAAAGTTCTGCCAGGGAACCTTCATTCCTCATAATCTCTTTTGTTCCCAAGGCCTGTAATGCAATTAAAAGTTCTGCCAAGGTGATACTGACAAATCAATTAGAATTCTCCGAAGAGGAAATTGTTGCTTTCATATGTTTTTGCAGGTAATGTAACCAGAATTTTTTGAAAACAATTCTCTCATCAGAAAAATCTTTACCAAAAAGTTCTCAAACTGTTGACAGTGTGAGAAGTCTGTCAGCATATTCCTTTAAACTGTTTCTCCCAGCTTCTTTCATTTTTTGTATTTCAGAATTCACGAATAATTCACGAATTAAATTCATGATTTGCATGCTCTTTACCCTCTCATTTTCTTAATACTCTTTTTCAAGATATTGCCAAATTTTTGCAGCAGATTCTAATTTCATAATTCTATTGAGAATAGAGGGTGAAACAGCAGAAAATAGGCAAGCTTTTTGGCTTTGGCTTTCCTGGTTTTTTTCTCCTTATAGCTCTTGAGCTGAGCAAATGATGGGTTTTTTTTCTAAGTGCAGGAATCTTGTAGTCTTCTTCTACAGCTTCCCAAAGATCAAAAGCTTTAAGATGGACACTCATCCTAACTACCCAACTCTGATAATTAACTCCATCAAATATTGGTGGAGCAATTGAAGCAAAGTTTGATTCTCCCTCCATCTCACGGGTTTGGTGTTTGGGTGTAACTTTTTGGTTCACTCAATCTCACGGGTCCCTCAATATAAAGGGTTCTGATACCATTCTGTTGGTATTTTTAATCTGAAACTTAAAAAAAAAAAAAAAAAAATGCAAGACAAGGATATATTTGAACTGCTGAAGACATGGATTTATAAAAAATATTATAGATATTTTTATAGGAAGAGATATAACAGAAAAATAGCAAATCACGCTGCATATTGAACAAATATGATTACTGTAAGGATATCGGCAATAAAAATACTAGAATAATTAAGCAGCGGAAAAATTAAAATGAGACACACAGAAATTTACGTGGTTCACCATCAACTGCTTAGAGATACGTCCACCAGACCAATTCCGAATATTTCTTCCACTATTAAAAATAGTAGGCTTACAAAGAGTAGGCTTACAAAGAGAGTAATACAAAATAGTGACACTCAAAAGTGTTTTGCAAAAAACACCCCAATAATCTTCACTATTTTTCTAAACCCTTAATTTCAAGAATCCTTTCTTAAAACTGAAAAAAACTCTCTAACGGTGAGATTGTTCTCTTAGTTGGTGTGTCTCAAATGAAGCAAATCTTCTCCTATTTATAAGAGAGGTAGTCACACACGGCTCTCCATTTATGCCATGGTTGGTTGCCAACCTTTAAATAGTTGGCTGCCAACTTTTTGACTTCAACTTTTTGACTTTTCCTTTTTTTTTTTTTCCAATTGTGTGGGTCCCACTTGAGTGGGCACAACACAACAATTCTCCCCCTGCACGCTCAAGTGGGACGTTAACCATATTCCCCATCATCCCTGCAGCTAATCGATAATATTCAAACTTGTCTTTTGGAAGGATCTTCGTTAATATATCTGATCCATTTTCATCTATATGGATCTTCTCAAGCTGTAGCTGCTTCATCTTCAGTACATCCCTGATCCAATGATATCTAACATCAATATGCTTTGATCTTGAATGAAAGGAGGAATTCTTCCCAAGATGAATCGCACTTATCGCGAATATCAAATATCAGTTCTTGATGAATTCCAGAAGTTCATTCAAAACGTTCTTCATCCACAGCAACTTCTTATGCATTGCTTCTGTTCTAGTGCGTATGAATTCTGCTTCAGTTGTTGATAGAGCAAATGCCCACTTCTGCTAAATTCTCTTGCTGCCAATGACACATCTCCCCCTTGCCATGACACGGCTCCCCCTGCAAATGTGATTAGATATCCTAATGTAGACTTTCTCGAGTCAACATCCCCAGCCATATCTGCATCGGTATAATCGATTAATACTGGCTTCTCATCTCCAAACCATAAACATACTTTGGTCGTACCTCGAAGATATCTGAAAATCCATTTCACTGCAGCCCAATGTTCCTTTCCCGAGTTTGAAAGAAACCGACTCACTACTCCAACTGAATGAGCAATATCTGGCTGTGTACAAATCATGGCATACATTAAGCTTCCAACTGCTGAAGCATATGGGATCTTTTCCATCTCTTCCTTCTCTCCATCGGTAGAAGGGCACTCTCCATCCGTAGAAGGCCACTGTTTAGAACTCAATTTAAAGTGATTAGTAAAAGGACAACTAACCGCTTTAGCATTCTCCATTCTAAAACTTTGAAGTACTTTCTCAATGTACTTCTCCTGTGACAATCATAATTTCTTGCCTCTTCGATCTTCATGCCAAGAATTTGCTTTGCTGGTCCCAAGTCTTTCATAGCAAAAGAATTACTTAGCTGTTTCTTCAAGCTATTAATTCTGATCAACAGTCACTATATCAACCACATAGAGCAAAAACAATATAGTCATCATCAGAGAATTTCTTCATAGAAACATAGTGATATGAAGTAGTCTTTCTGTAGCCTTGCTCCCCCATAACAGACTCAAACTTCTTGTACCATTGTCTCAGTGCCTGCTTCAAGCCATACAGGCAGCCATACAGCTCTTCTTACAAATTTGCAAACCACATCCTCTTTTTTCTAAACCCTCTGACTGCTCCATGTATATTTCTTCTTCCAAATCTCCATGTAGGGAAGGTAGTCTTTTCCATCCATTTGCTCGGATTTCCAGTTTACAACTGGCGGCCGTTCCGAGAACTGTCCGAATGGATGTCATTTTCACAACTGGTGAAAAGATCAAAAATCAATACCCTTTCTTTATTGAATCCTTTCACAACCAGTCTAGTTTTGGATCGTTGGTTTGGGAGCTATGTTCTTCCTGCTTTGAATCCTGAACACCCACTTATTCTTCAAAGCTTTACTTACCTTTAGCAACTTCATTTAAGCCTCAAATGTTTTCATCCTCATGCAAGGACTTCATTTCATTCTTGCATGGGCTTCAATCCAGTTCCTCTTGTGTTCATTTCCATAGCTTCTTTTTTCCAAAGGCTTCAGGTTCTCCCCCGTCAGTCATCAGTACATACTCATTGACTGGAATCTAGTAGATGGTTTGTCAGACTCTACTAGATCTTCTTTAATGTTTGAGAACCTTCTTGGTGCTGGTGGTTGAAACATGAACAACAACATGAACACCATAATCTTCATCTGGTTCATTTTCATTAGGAACTTCTGGATTTTCTAACTCTGGCACTTGTTCTTGTGGAACATTTTTTTCATCTCCAATTTGTCTGTGTTCTATTAAAGGGACTCTCTGTATGTCTGTTGAGTCTTCATCAGATTTATTGGCACTCTGCTTCAATATCTTCAATAGTCTGATCTTCAACAAATACAGCATCACGATTTCTTATAATCGTCTTCTGGATTGGGTCATAGAACCTATGGCCAAATTTGTCTTGGCCATAGCCAATGAATACACACTGTGTAGTCTTGACATCAAGCTTAGACCGTTTATCCTTCGGGATATGCCATCAAGCTTAGACCATTCATCCTTCGGGATACCTGCGAAGGCTTTGCAACCAAACACTTGCAAATGATCATAGGAAACTCCTAACCATACTCTCTCTGGAGTATCATACTGTAGAGGGAAACAGAGTGAACGGCAAACTGCTGTGAGTAACGCTTTACCCCAAATCTTTTAGATAACTTTGCACGTGAGAGTAAACATCTGACTCTCTCTATCAAAGTTCTGTTCATCCTCTCAGCCAAACTGTTCAGTTGCGGCTCTTGGGGGGTGCCGTTTGTTGTCGAATGCCATGGTCTTTGCAGAAAGCATCAAATGGCCCAGTGTATTCTCCACCATTATCTGTCCTGATACATTTCAGCTTCTTGCCTGTCTGTCTCTCAACCAGATTTAGAAGACTTCAATGTGTATACCCAGGTCTTCCTAGAATGGTCATCGATAAATATCACAAAATATCGATTTCCACCCAATCGATTCCACCATCATGACATTGTCATGGTCCACACAAAATCTGCAAATCAGATTTAATACATTCTTTCATCTTACATTCTAGAAGGAGGGGTAATCTTGAAAGCTACTCTGTTTAGCTTTTCCGCCATACAATCAAGACACTTGTCTAGGTGAACTTCATCCGATCCAGGTAATACGTTCCTTCTTGCCAAAGTTTTCTTACTCATGTGGCGTAGTCGTTTATGCCACAATTTAACTGTACTGTCATTCTCCGCTACACTCAAAGTGTCTTGTGAGAGTTTCGCATGCATCACGTATAGTTTTCGATCTCTAGCTACCACAAATGAACCTTTTGTGAGCTTCCACTGACCATTTCTGAAGGTGCTACAGAAACCTTCATTATCAAATCTACCAATCGAGATTTGGATGCATGCTCGAAAGCCCATTCCTCGTCAGTCTTCTCTTTCGATTTAGTTCAACTAAACACAGACAAATGCATTTTGATTACCATAAGGAGATATCTCATTTCTCCATATATGGTAATTCCCGCTATTTAGACTGATCATTTTATTTAGAAACTGATCATTTGCTTGTACTATTTTGACTTGCGCAGAAAATCAATCACCAACATAAACCGTCATACGTAGACTTGCGCAGAAAATCATCACCAACATAAACCGTATACGTAAACAGTAGTATACGTGAATAGTGACTATGAATAGTAATAGTATACTTGAATAGTAACTGTACATGTGAATAGTACTATGTGTGAATAGTGCTGGGTTTACTTGAAATGGACTCAGCAACAGTAACGCCTATAATACTGTTCATCATCAACTTTAACTTACTATTTTACTATTCATCATTAAGTCGATTCTGCAACGTCTTTCCGAGTGGACAGCACCAATGGACTTGTCGTAATTTTCTCTTCGTCATGGTATATTTATTTCCAAAACATATCCACGGATCCGGTACCGCAATCTGACCGGTTGGACCTGCCAAACCTTCGGCTCTAATACCACTTGTTAGGCATCATCTCTGATACCAGTTTTTGGGCATCAGCTCTGATACTACTTGTTGGGCCTTTTCAAAGAATCAAGAGAAAATTAACGCAACGGAAAATAGAAATGGGACACACAGAAATTTATGTGGTTCACCCTCAACTATTTAGGGCTACGTCCACGGTACCAACTCTGAATATTTCTTCCACTTAAAAATAGTAGGCTGACAAAGAGAGTAATATAAAATAGTGGCACCCAAAAGTGTTTTCCAAAAAACACCCTAATAATCTTCACTATTTTTCTAAACACTTAGAACATTTTCTTAAAACTGAAAAAAACTCTCCACCGGTGAGATTGTTCTATAAGTTGGTGTGTCTCAACTGAAGTGAGCGTGTGTATGTTGGTTGCCAACATTGAATAGTTGGCTGCCAACTTTTTAACTTTTCCTTTGGTTTTTTTTTTTCAATTGTGTGGGTCCCATTTGAGTGGGCACACCACAACAATTACTCCATATTGAGTATATCTGATTATTCCAAAAAATCAGCAACAAAATAAAACCACGTTTTAACAAAAACTTCAAACTTCAGCAGCCTCTTAGCAACAACCATAAACTTCAAACTTCAGCAGCCTCTTAGCAACAACCATATCAGCTCATAAGACTAATATCCAATACCTTTCTTTTGACATGGAATGTAGTGTGTAAAATATAGTATGGACGAGGATTGCTGGGTTTATGAGAAAATGATATTTAAGTGTTGTGGTGTTAGTCCAATTGAAAATATAGGCAAAGTTAATAACAGGCACACTAGCGAGTGGGCTCCAAGGGAACCTCGCCATTGTGAGCTGCTTCAAATACGTTATAATCGGATATAGTTGTTTGAAAATTTTGATGTTCTTTTTTTTTCCAGAGCTGCACTCATATCCTTTCCTTTTGCATGGAATTTAGTGTGTAAAATATTAGTAAGGAGGATTGCTGGGTTGAGGAGGAAATGATAATCAAGCGTTGTGTTTATACTCCAAGTGGAAATATTGACAATATTAAGTTGAGGTACTCTAGTGAGTAGGCTCCAGGAGGGCCACGTCACTGTGAACTGCTTCAAGAAGGTATGTTGGAAATATTGACAATATTAAGTTGAGGTACTCTAGTGAGTAGGCTCCAGGAGGGCCACGTCACTGTGAACTGCTTCAAGAAGGTATGTTTGTTGGTCATAAATATGAGTTTATTTCAGTCATCCATTTTCTTTATTTTTATAAAGCTGAGTTTTTGTGGTTTCTGACCTCATATTTTCTAAGAGATGCTTGTTTGAATACTTGTAGAATTGGGTTGTAGTTATGATTCCTATACTGATCCCTTGAGAATAAAACACATTCACTACGAGGCTGCTTTTGGATGTGGTTGTGGGGCTTTAAATAAAATTCTTTGACACATTTATATTTATGTGTAGTTTGATCCTTAACCCTTTTTCTAAAAATGGAATGCAGTTAATAGCACGCGAAAGGAAGGAAAAGTGATGGCCTTATGAGAAAATGATATCTCAGTGTTGCGGTGGTGTTACTGCAACTAGAACTAAGTAGCAAGTATCTGGGCTGAAAGGGATCTCAAGATGAACAAGTGTGATAGTTGATTAGTTGAATTATTTATGTTAAACCTACTTAACTTAGCTGAAGTATGGTAGCAATATATGTTAAGTATGCTTAATTTAGTTCTTAACTGAAAGGATTGGTAGGAACAGTTGTTTAATTTTTTCTTTTCTGGAAGCTGAATTATATATAACAAGTCATTTGTGTTAATGTATGAATACATGTACTTTTCCCAATTCTAATATGTTCTTTCTTCTATATTTCAGTTGTATCTTCGTCTTCTTGATTATTTCTCTCGCTTAATGAACAAAGTAATAATTTCTTTAGAATATAAATTATAATGAAAACTTCAGATTGTATATAGTCAAATCTGTATCCATCAAAATTATAATTAAGTCTTTCAACTTTGAAAAATCGAATTAATTGTAAGGTAGTCAACTTCGCATAAAACAACACGCAATGATCAAGAAGTCAAAGCTGTTGCCATCTTATCTATTAACGCGTTTGTAGACTTGGAGTTTCTTCGGTCTTCTTCAATATTTCTTTATCTTTCTATAATTTTATATTTGTGTTTGTTTTGTTTTTTTTATTTGTTCATTTTTCATTTTAAAGGCATGCAGTCATTGTTAAAGACTGAACACCATGTTATATCTCATTACACGTGCAATTTTCTGTAACAAATGGAGCACCCTGCACGTGCACACTTAGTAACCCTTTTTACTTTAGTCCTTCATGTTCATGTTCATGTGCTTTTCTTAACCTGTACAAGCATCCTGTTCTTGCAAACTACTTATTGCGTCAGTACGTTAGGGAATGAAACCGATCGACTTGGTCTTTTGGAATTCAAAGCCAAAATAGGCAGTGACCCATATGGCATCTTAAGCTCATGGAATGATTCTCTCAGCTTCTGCAAATGGCAAGGAGTTACCTGCAGCCCCAAACATCAAAGAGTTACATCTCTGGAACTGCAAGGGCTGAGCTTGTCTGGATCCATATCTCCATGGGTAGGGAACCTCACCTTCTTGAGGTTCCTCAATCTTGCTGTCAATGAAGTACATGGTGAAATTCCCCAAGAACTTGGCCGCCTATATCGACTAAGACATATCAACCTAACCAAAAATGCACTGACAGGAGAAATTCCAATCAACCTTAGCTACTGCTCCGAGCTGAAGATTTTGGATCTCTCTAATAACCGCTTGGTGGGGAAAATTCTTCCCGAGTTAGGCTCTTTAAAGAAGCTTGTGTTGCTCAGGCTTTATATAAACAATCTCACAGGAGAAATCCCACAGTCCGTTGGAAACTTGTCATCCCTTCAAGTTATTTCTGTAGGAAGTAATAATTTGCGGGGATATATTCCCAACGAATTGGGACGATTAACAAGCTTAACATTTATTTCAATTATAATCAACAATCTGAATGGTACAGTGCCTTCCAGTATATACAATATCTCATCCATAACCTTGCTTTCTTTTACCCAGAATCAACTCAAAGACAGTCTTCCACCAAATATAGGCCTTACGCTTCCTAACCTGCGAGTATTTCAGAACGGCGTGAACCAATTCTATGGAGCTATTCCAATTTCACTTGCTAATGCTTCCCATCTTGAAATGTTTGACATCTCTAGCAACTCTTTTACAGGAGAAGTTCCAACCAGTTTTGGAGATTTGAAAAGTCTTCGACACACAGGAGAAGTTCCAACCAGTTTTGGAGATTTGAAAAGTCTTCGACACCCCAGTTTTGGAGATTTGAAAAGTCTTCGACACCTCAATTTGGGACGCAATTTCCTTGGAAATAACACAAGTCAAGATTTGAGTTTCGTAACATCCTTGAGAAACTGCAGCAATTTACAAAAACTATATTTTGATGTCAATAATTTTGGTGGTGTATTGCCTAGCAGCATATCCAATATGTCTTCCCTCTTTGCACTTACTCTGGGAGGCAACCAAATATCTGGCAAAATTCCAGCAGACATTGGGAATCTCGTTAACTTGTATGTCTTGGGCATGGAGGTCAATCTTTTTTCTGGCAGCCTCCCCCTTTCTCTTGGAAAGAATCAACAGCTGCAGATATTGTATTTACATACGAATAAACTATCCGGACAAATTCCTGCATCCTTAGGTAACATTAGCCAGTTATGTCATCTTTTATTATTCAAAAACAAATTAGAAGGTAATATACCATCAAGTTTAGGTCACTGTATAAATCTGCATTACCTAGATCTAGCAGCAAATAACCTGATAGGTACCATACCCCAAGAGATCATTGGCTCGTCCTCTCTATCTTTGGTTCTTAACTTATCTCATAACACATTGATAGGTCCCATACCCCAAGAAGTTAGCAAATTAAAAAACATTGGTACAATAGATGTATCAGAAAACAAATTATCTGGCGAAATTCCGGAGGCAATAGGTGATTGTTTGAGCCTAGAAATCCTTTACATGCAGGGTAACTTCCTGCAAGGACCTGTTCCCTTATCTATCGCATCCTTAAGAGGTTTAAAGAGGTCTACCATTTTTAGAACCTATCAAGAAACAAACTTATGGGAAAAATTCCACAAGGAGTGGAGAACACTTTCTGTTTTTGCAAGTCCTTTGGAATCTTTCATATTAATAAACTTAGTACGAAGTGCCAAGAAAAGGAGTCATTTAGCAATGTCAAGTGCAAATTTCTCTTATTGGAAATAATCTAATCTTTGTGGAGGTAATCCCAAAATTGAAAGCTTCCAGTATGCCCTGTCAAACACAAGAAACACAGGTTCTCCCATGGTCCATTATCCTTGCCACAACCCTTAGTTCAGTAGCATTTTTTGTGAACAGTAAACGTTCTTCTCGTCTTTTCTACTGGCGAAAAGTCACCAGACAGAGTCCATCTCCCCCACCTCTTAAATTGTTTGGATTAGGCTTGCCCTTCGAATTATCCCGTTACAAGCGAACTCTTGCAAGCAAACTGGGGGATTTCTTTCAAGACAATTTGATTGGCACAAGGTAGGTTTGGCTCAGTGTAGTAAGAGGAAATCTGGTCAGCAAGGGCAGAGATTAGTTGCTGTAAAGGTAACTCAAACCTAACCAGAACAGAATGAAGCTTCCAAAGAGCTTCATTGCCGAGTGCAAAATATTGAGAATATACGCACCGGAATTGGTAAACGGTACACTGGACATACTGCTCTAGCTTGATTTCAAAGGTAACGATTTCAAAGCCTCTAAGTGGTTTTGATTTTCCATGGCAAATGGGGAATTAGAAATTGGCTCCATCCAAGAGAAAAATAAAAGCAATGAAATCAGCCCAAGAAGCTTTAAAACCTTCTTCATGAGACTTCAAATTGGGCAAATTGATGTGCTTCTGCATTGCATTATCTTCAATGACAGGTTGTGAAAATACAATCATTCACTGCGAACTTGAAAACCAAGCGATAATTCTTTCTTTGATGGTGACCCATGACTGCACCCCAACCGAAGGCAGGAATGCACGAAACCCGCCAAAGCGACACATGCACACTAATGCCACACCGCAACCAGTGTTGTTTTGTTGGTGACTTTGGATTAGCAAGGCTTTGGGGGTGACTTTGGATTAGCAAGGCTTTGGTCTAAAACTGCAAATACTTCCTTTCAAGGCCAAACCAGCTCGATTGGGATGAAGGGAACAATTGGATATATGGCTCCAGGTAAAAGTTTCTTTACATGTTGCTTCATCAAATTAACTAACATTTATAGAAAAAGAAAATGTAATAGTCAATTGATATTTCTTACCTTAAATGTTTCAGAGTATGGAGTAGGCAATGCAGCTACAACATCTGGAGATACATATAGCTTTGGAATAATTATGTTGGAGATGTTCACAGGAAAGAGACCAACTGATGAAGTATTTACAAATGGTTTGAATCTCCATAAATTTGTTAAAACTAAGCTTCCAGAACAAGTCAATCAGGTTATGGATCCAATTCTTTTCCCAGCAGGAAATACAGGGATAGCATCAAACAGTGTGGATGATAATGATGAAGAAAATATCCAGAAATGTAACATTAGTATTGAAAATTTGAGAGTAGAGGAAGGGAATTTGGAGAAATGTATTGTGTCAGTCCTTAAAATTGGAGTGGCATGCTCAGAAGAATTACCAGAAGATCGAATGAATATGAGGGATGCTACAACGTCATCAAAGATGCATTTCTTGGTGCAAGAAATATTATTTGTGAGTAAAGGGAAGAGCTACCCCTATTATGTAATTTCTTGTAAAATATTATTTGTGAGTAAAATATCATTTGGGAATTTCTTCTAATTTCTCCAATTTTTAATTGAATTTATTATTTATTTATTTGCAGTTTTTAAGAAATTTTCTCAACGATACAAGATGACGGAACACATTTATTTATATTTATAAACCTACGAAGTTTCCTCAATTAGGAAAGTTAAATAAATTATTAAATCAAAGGTGTTTCAGGAATAAAAAATAAATGAATCCAAAATCAAAGGTGTTTCAGGAATAAAAAATAAATGAATCCAAATATTATTATAAACAATTATATAGAATTATAAATTTATTTCAAACAGAATTATATAGAATTCAATTGAATAATATGTTTTAAGTTAAATATATTAAATAATTAAAAATTTTATTGATTAAAAATCAAATTATTCAGTGAAAACAAAAAATTCAACTATTTAAAAGTTTCTGTGAAGTTTTCTGTAACAAAAGTTATGAATTGACAAGTTCTATCCAAGAACAATAATTCAACATAAATAATTGAATGTACCAAACTAAAATGAAAACAAAACGACAGTACATTAAATACCAAGAACAAAAATCAAAGGGACGAAGACAAACAAGAAGCTACAAAATATGGATAAACAAGACAGCAAAACAAACAACAAGGCAAGACTAGAAAAATTAATCTACACTTAGATTACAATATTTCATTAGGAGCTATTCAATTATTGGAGAGAGATAATTAATCACCTTAAAAAAATAATTAATCTCTTTATAATTTTATTCCAAAGATATATATTATTAAATTTGACAACCTTGAAAATGCATAGATTCTTCAAGATTTATAAACTAAAATAAAAAAATTAATACAACAATAAAGTTTAAATAGAGTTTTTGTCACGACCCATTTCTTGCATCTTATTTTAGTATAATAAATATAACAGTAAAATATTTTCTAAAATAATGTTTCTTGCATCTTATAACAAATGAATTACACAAATATAATTATCTATTATTGCTCTTTATAAAATTATTACATCAAAGGTGTTTCAGGAATAAAAAATAAATGAATCCAAATATTATTATAAACAATTATATAGAATTATAAATTTATTTCAAACAGAATTATATAGAATTCAATCGAATTGCATGTTTTAAGTTAAATATATTAAATAATTAAAAAAATTAAGCTATAACATTATTCATCAATTTGTGAGTAGAGGGGAGAGCTACCCCTGTTATGTAGACCATAATATTATTTGGTCCGTCGAGCCTTTTAATCCATAAAAAAAAAAATTAGCAAGCTTTCATTCTATTTCAATTAATTTGTATACATATTCTTCCTCTTTTATAATTGTATATTTACTTTTTATTACATATTCTTCCTCTTTTATAATTGTATATTTACTTTTTATAATTACATTTATATATTATATAACTTCAAATTTATTCATCCAAATGCTGTAGTTGGTTCCTAACATGACTTATAATGCTGCTAGCTCCTAGGTTAAGCTTGAGCACAGTCCAGCTGGTCCGGCTTTAAAAAATTTCAAAACCAAGCTAAAAGTTGCTATTTGAAAATTTATATGGAATCAATTAAAAAAAAGTAGTTTAATACAGTTCATTTTGTGGTTTGATGCCATAAAAAAAATTTATGCATCAATCAATTAAACTATAAAGATTTTACAACTACATATGACGAACTTTTAAAAAAAAAAAAACAAAAATTGAATAGAAAAACAAGATTTGATTAAACAAAAACACAGTTTGATTGGATGGTGACTTTTTTTCTTAACACGTGAATTGTTGTCAATACAGCTTGGTTCGGTTTTAACTATTTGATTGAATAACAATCTAACCAAACAGATTCAAAGACGGGTTTATCAACTTTCAAATCAAACCACACCATTAAAATGGTACCGTAGAAAATTGACGATTTGACGTGTTATGATTATTTAACTGTTTAAAGCGTTTAACGCACTCCCCTATGGCTAACGCGAATTCTTCCACACGCGCTGTCCTTTTTCTAATTATGCGAAGACTTGGAGTCTTCATACCACAATTTTTTCCACAAGTTGTCACATCTTCACTTTTTTTTTTTTTCTGATATTCCACAATTATGCGAAAGACTTCAGAAAATACTATTGACCTTCTAAGTCTACACGCTTCAAAGCTTGTATTTTCCTTTCATCTAATCACGTTACAAAGGACTTATTAGCGTCTTTGAAAACTCGACCAGACATCTAACAGGATTAAGGCCTATATATTTGTTAGGAGACTCCCTTTACCAGCACTTCAATTCATATAGAGCCCACTTGCTTGCCTTACGATATACATATATATCTCACTTCCACACAAATGGAGCTCCCTGCATCTGCATACTCTGTAACCCTTTTGATCTCAGTCCTTCATGTTCATGTGCTTGTCTTTTTCTGTGCAAGCATCCTGTGCTTGCAAACTGCTGATTGCCTCAGTATGTTAGGAAATGGGACCGACCGACTTGCTCTTTTGGAATTCAAAGCCAAAATAGGCAATGATCCATATGGCATCTTAAGCTCGTGGAATGATTCTGTCAACTTCTGCAAATGGCAAGGAGTTTCCTGCGCCCGCAAACATCAGAGGGTTACATCTCTGAACCTGCAAGGGCTGAGCCTGTCTGGAGCCATATCTCCGAGTGTAGGGAATCTCACCTTCTTGAGGTTCCTCAACCTTGGTGCCAATGAATTCCGTGGTGAAATTCCCCAAGAAATCCTCAACCTTGGTGCCAATGAATTCCGTGGAGAAATTCCCCAAGAAATTGGCCGCCTGTTTCGACTGAGACATATCAACCTGACTGATAATGCATTGAAAGGAGAAATTCCAATCAACATTAGCTACTGCTCAGAGTTGAAGATTTTGCTTCTCTCTAGTAACATCTTGGTAGGAAAAATTCCTCCCGAGTTGGGCTCTTTAAAGAAGCTTGTATCACTTAGGCTTTTTAAAAATAATCTCATGGGAGAAATCCCACATTCCCTTGGGAACTTGTCATCCCTCCAAGCTCTTTCTCTAGCGTATAACAAACTGAAGGGAAATATTCCCAATGAATTGGGACGATTAACAAGCTTAATGGTTCTTTCAGTTTCAAGCAACGATCTGACTGGTACAGTGCCATCTAGCATATACAATATCTCCTCCATGACCAAGCTTTCTTTTTCATTGAATCAAATCAAAGGCAGTGTCCCAGCAAATATAGGCCTGACTCTTCCCAACTTACAAGAATTTGCATACGGCCTGAACCAATTCCATGGAACCATTCCACTGTCACTTGCTAATGCTTCCCAGCTTGAAATAATTGACATCGCTAGCAACTTTTTCTCAGGAGAAATTCCAAGAAATTTTGGGGATTTGAGTAGTCTTCAATTTCTCAATTTGGCACAAAATTTCCTTGGAAATAACACAAGTCAAGATTTAAATTTTGTAACATCTTTGTCAAACTGCAGCAATTTACAAGAACTATATTTTGATCACAATAATCTTGTTGGTGTATTACCTAACAGCATAATTAATGTATCTTCCCTCATTAGCCTTTTTCTAGGAAACAACCAAATATCCGGTAGAATTCCAGCAGAGATTGGGAATCTTGCTAACTTGAATGCATTAGGCATGGAAGAGAATCTTTTTTCTGGCAGCCTCCCTATTTCTCTTGGAAAGAATCAACGGATGCAAATGCTGTATTTAAATAATAATAAACTATCCGGAGAAATCCCTGCATCCTTAGGTAACATCAGCCAGTTATATCATCTTGTATTAGCCATGAACAAATTAGAAGGGAATATACCAGCAAGTATAGGTCACTGCACAAATCTGCATTTGCTAGATCTAGCAGAAAATAAACTGACTGGTACCATGCCCAAACAAATCATTGGCTTGTCTTCTCTATCTTTGGTTCTTAACTTATCTCAAAACTCATTGATAGGGCCCATACCCCAAGAAGTTGGCAAACTCAAAAATATCGGTGAAATAGATATATCAGGAAACAAATTATATGGGGAGATTCCTAAAGCAATAGGTGATTGTTCGAGCCTTGAAATTCTTAACATGCAGGCTAACTTCCTTCAAGGACCCATTCCGTTATCTATCGCATCCTTAAGAGGTCTACAATCTTTAGACCTGTCAAGAAACAAACTGACAGGAAAACTTCCAAAGGAGCTGGAGAAACTTTTGTTCTTGAAAACTTCCAAAGGAGCTGGAGAATTTTGTTCTTGAGTATTTTGAATCTCTCTTTAATAATCTAAGTGGTGAAGTGCCAAGAACAGGAATCTTTAACAATTTAAGTTGCAATTTCTCTTGTTGAAAATAATAATCTTTGTGGAGGTACCAACAATTGGAAAGCCTTCCAGTATGCCCGGTCAAACAAAAAGAAACACAAGGTCTCCCATTGTCATTATCCTTGCACAAACCCTTAGTTCAGTAGCATTTTTAGTGACAGTAACGTTCTCCTCTCTTTTTCTAACTGCCGAAAGTCAGAAAGAGTCCAACTTCGCAACAACCTCCTATTTGTGGATAGGCCTTCCTCGGAATTTCATCAAGGGAACTCTTGGCAAGCAAGCTGGGGGTTCTCTTTCATACAAGGAACTCTTGCAAGCAACTGGGGGATTCTCTTCAGAGAACCTGATTGGACAGGGTAGTTTTGGCCTGGTGTATAGAGGAAGTCTTGATCAGCAAGCATACAGATTAGTTGCTGTAAAGGTACTCAACCTTCAACAACGTCAAGCTTCCAAGAGCTTCATTGCTGAGTGCAAAATATTGAGAAACTTAAGGCACCGGAATCTGGTAAAGGTATTGACATACTGCTCGAGCATTGATTTTAAAGGTAACGATTTCAAAGCTCTAGTGTTCGATTTCATGGCAAATGGGAGCTTAGAAATGTGGCTGCATCCAAGAGAAAATAATGGTAATGCTCAGTCAAGAAGTTCAAGAAGTTTAAACCTTCTGCAGAGACTTCAAATTGCAATTGACGTGGCTTCTGCACTGCATCATCTTCATGACAATTGTGAAGTACCAATCATTCACTGCGACTTGAAACCAAGCAATATTCTTCTTGATGATGACATGACTGCTCATGTTGGTGACTTTGGATTAGCAAGGCTTTGGTCTGAAACTCAAAATTCTTCCTCTCGAGGCCAAACCAGCTCAATTGGGATGAAGGGAACAATTGGATATATGGCTCCAGGTAAAAGTTCCCTTACATGCTTGCTTCATCAATTTAACTAACATTTATAGAAAAAGAAAATGTCAAAAGTCAATTATTGTTTCTCACCTTGTACATATGTTGCAGAGTATGGAGTAGGCAATGCAGCTACAACATCTGGAGACACATATAGCTTTGGAATAATTTTGTTGGAGATGTTCACAGGAAAGAGACCAACTGATGAAGTGTTCACAAATGGTTTGAGTCTCCACAGTTTTGTTAAATCTAAGCTTCCAGGACGAGTCAATCAAGTTTTGGACCCAATACTTTTTACAGCTGGAGATATGGGGACAGCAACAAACAATACCTATGAAAATGCGGGAGACGAGATCCAGGAAAGTATTGAAAATTTGAGAGTAGAGGGTGGAAATGTGGAAAAATGTATTGTATCAGTACTTAAAATTGGAGTGTCATGCGCAGCAGAATTACCAGAAGACCGAATGAAAATGAGGGATGCCACAAGAAAACTAAATGTCATCAAAGATGGATTTCTTCGTGCCAGGAACCCTAGAGATCAGAGAAGGGGAAATTAAAAGTCCACTAATTGCATCGAGAGTTGAACTCATGTGAGAAGATTTCTCTTTGGTATTGACCCTGTAAATCCTATTTTTAAGTTTATTTTTCAAATAATTAAGTCCAATTTATTTTTTACATTAATAACAGTATTTTAAACTATATATCTATCTATAATACATATAAAGTAAATGAAGTTACGATGCATTGTGCGAGTGTTTTTTTATTATCCAATTCAAAATTAAAATAAAGATAAAGACAGAGAAATTAAGTCATCACTATACAAAACTAAAATGTGAAGGTTATACCGAAATTATACCTGATAACATTGATAAAGGAGCATTTCAATTAACGACAATTCAAAATTCAAAATTATGTAATTGAATAAAACTATCTAGTTAACAACATGTAAAAGCAATAGAACATCTTCTTCGACAGTAGCACGTAATTTGTTAAAAAAAAAATCAATCCGTAACTATTAATTTTTCAATTTAAAATATATTTTAGTAGCCAATCAATTTGTAAAAAACAACATGTAAAAGCAATAGAACATCTTCTTCGACAGTAGCACGTAATTTGTTAAAAAAAAAATCAATCCGTAACTATTAATTTTTCAATTTAAAATATATTTTAGTAGCCAATCAATTTGTAAAAATGATAGTAAAAAGGGGAAAAAGCTCAAAAAATTTTTTAAAAAAATAAAGAAAAATAAGAATGCTCAAAGAGTAGAATACCGCATCGGCATTTTGAAATATTTTTTTGCTTCATATATATATATACTAGTCGTAAACCCACGCTCACGTGCGATTATATATATAATTTGTAAATTTAAAAAATTTAGATCAATTTTATTTTAAAATAAAAATGAGAAATAAAACAATTAATACAATTTATTGACTTAAAAAATATAAAAATTAAACAAATAATTTTGTTTTTTTTTTCCTACCTCAAACGTGTTTTTCTGATATATAAGTTATAAAAGGATCATGTATCCTAATTATTGTTTTGAAAAAATAAGAATAAGAGATGAAAAATAAAAATTCAAATTTAAGGTATAGATGTAGGTAATATAATTTTTTACAAGCAATATAGTAATTTTTAAAAGGAAATTATTAGATATAATTTTTAATATTTGGATAATTAAATTAAATTTTAAATGATGAGTTCAACACTATTGCTTAGGTATTTGAATTCTTAATATTTTAAATTTTTATTTTATTATTTAAATTAAATAAAAACAAATCCTAAAATTTTTCTTTCGCAAAAAATAAATTTTCATGTTTTTTTTCGTTCTATGCTTCCAACCCTTTGTTGTGCATGCTTGTCACAACCCGTTTTCATGGACCGAACCGGCACTAGGACCCAGATAAGCTTAAGGCCCCCGAGGCCCGTAGTAAGTCTGAAACGCTAAAATCTACTATCTCAATATAAATTTTAAACATTCAGCCTATATTACGAGGAAAATCAACCTCAAGATTTTATTACACCTCGGCTCAAATTTATCACCTTCAACATTCCACAGTTCTAGCTCAATTTAAAATATATCACATTTCTAATATGGGCTTACAGAATTATTTCATCTATATTAATACACGACTAAATGTATGTAAACTCTACAACTGCGGAGTCACTAACTGTTTGATATACATAGCTTTTTATACAAATAGTTACATAGCAAAATAATTATGGAACTAGGAAAATTCCTTTATAGCCCTGTGGCGAAGAAACATAGCCTAAATCGAATTAAAGAGAAACTTATTTCACTAGGAAAAATTCCTTTATAGCACCTAGGTGGCGAAGAAACAGTAGCCTAAATCGAATTAAAGAGAAAACTTATTTCCTGAAAAAATTAAACAAGACATGTGATTTTCCTAAGGAGTAATCAATTATTTGCAGCCATAATAATTATTGCACAACACACGCATTCATACAAATGTGTAAATATATCAATCTAGTCATCCGACTAGTATATGCTCACGCAGACAGTCACACAAATGGTATAACAACAGCACTCACACTTATTATCAACATCACATAATCACAACGTGGAAATTGGTATGTGGCGTCACCGAAACTCCCAATGAGCCGTCCTCACACATGGCCCACCCTCTCATAACATGTGCACTAGGGAGCCTATCCCCCATACATGGCCAACCGGTCTAATCCTCACTTGACCGGTCCTCTCATTGTTTTTCCATTCCTCTCATTGTTTTTCCATTCTCTCTTTTCTTTTCCATACCAACAGGAGGCAACCCTGTGGTTTATCCATATCATATCATCAGATGCACACGGGGTGCCAATCTCCATACGGCCAACGGTCTCGTGGACCGCCCTCACAAACCTATGGTGACCACTTCATCCCAACTCCACACATACAAGGAAATAGCATTATCACAACACGATTAATCAAGTATTGGAATTAAATGCAAGCATATTAATCAATTAAACATCGCATTGCAATGCACAATTAGACATCTCCATTCAAATGCAAATAAACAAATAAATAGTATTAACAATAAACAACAATAATAAAATAAATAATAACAATAATAAAGCAACAATAATAAAATAAATAATAACAATAATAAAACCAATAATAAATGAAAATAGATAAATAGATTAAATTAAATAAATGAATACTAATGATAAATAATAATAATGGAATAAATATAATATAATATAAGTAAGAGATAAAGAATTAATCTAAATTATACCTATATTAATTAATATTGATTAATTAAGACTAGCCTAGCTTTCCTATCATAAATTTCCGAGCAAAACCTCCCTAAAATTTGACTAAACCAACGATGCTTGCAACAATAATAATATCAAAGCCAGCATCCAATCCTATCGGAGCAATTCACATCAACTCATACCCATTCCATCGGGCAATCAATCCAAAGACCAATCCATCCGCTTTCAGACTACATATATCAATCCATCACAAGTTGCTCAGCATAATATACATTTAAATTAATTGCCAAATCAATCAAAATTAACAATTTATATTAACCTCCAAGCTGTGTTCCAATGATATTAATTAATTGCTCTAATAATATTTACTTGTCTACAGCCTTAAATTATAAAACTCCTCCTAAACAAACATTTATTAAAATTCCTACATTAGCTTACATAAATATTAGCTAAGAAATGTCTTATCTCAATACGCAAACCTTTTAGTTGTAACTAAATGTTCATGAAATATATTTAACAATATTCAGTGAATTAATTTGCATCTAAACATTATACACGAACTGATTCTTAAGTAAAATTAATATTTGAATTGATTATTTCAATTCAAAAATTCAATCTAATCACCATAATTATTAAAGTTTAGAATTTTAATACCAAAAATGGGGAAATTAGTCTTAGAAGCGTACTAATTGAGAATCGGGCAACGATTCAAATAATCAAGCGCGAAAAGGAGATCATTCTGGTCTGTTAAGGGCCTTCGCCGGAGTGTCTCCAGCCGAATCACAAAGTAGACGCCACCCCCGACGCGCGGCCAGCGCGTAGCACAGGATGGGCCCGAAAAAATTGTGCCTCTCTGGAGTTTGAGCGGCGCTTCACACCCCAGACTCGAAAAATTCACGCAGAATTCGAATCCATGTTTTTCGTTTGGTGGCATTTGGTGAAGACCGAGTTCGTGTGAGGCTCGGAACTTAGTAAAATTATATTTGATTGATTATTCATTCAAATTCAATCTAATCAACCAATAATTATTAAGTTTAGAATTTATACCAAAAATGGGGAAATTAGTCTTAGAACGTACTAATTGAGAATCGGGCAACGATTCCATAATCAGCGCGAAAAGGAGATCATTCTGTCTGTTAGGGCCTCGCCGGAGTGTCTCCAGCCGATCACTAGATCGCCACCGCCGGCAGCCGTGCACGGTGGCCGAAAAATTGTGCCTCTGCTGGATTTGAGCGGCGCTTACACCCCCAGACTCGAAAATTCACCAGAAATTCGAATCCATGTTTCGTTTGTGCATTTGGTGAGCCGATCGGTCGGAATCAAGCTCGATAGTCGCTCCACCACCGCCTTCAATGGCACTTCCGCTATACGGGCTCCATCTTTAAAATTAATAGAGGGGAAATATTTCCAAGGTGACTAGGAGTCGATTGGGTCCCTTCCCGATGCCTAATATCCACCGAACGACGAGATTTCACCCGAAAATCGAAGAGCAGGTGCGATTTGCGGAGACAGGCCCGATCACGCCGCTGGAGCTCCGTTCGCGTGAGAGGAGGCTGGAAATTCAGTCAGTGGCACAAGGTGAGTCGTCCACCACCTCGTGCTCGTCGTGCGGTGGCCGGAATTGCAGTCCCTCCAGAGAAGAGGAGGCTGTCGAACGCGCAGAAGAAGAAGAAGAAGAAGAGAGGAAGAAAAAAAAAAGAAACTAAGTCGGTTTCTAGATCATTTCGATTCGATTCGAACCGATTTGGTCGGATTGAACGATTTGGCTCGATTTTGCTCGGTTTCTAGGTTTTTCACTTGATTTTTAGGTATTCGTGTGGTTTTCGAAAAATCAATTTCATTTCCGGGTCCGGTTCAATTTATTTTGATTATTTTAGTTAGGTTCCGTAACATTTTCTCTATTTACTCAATAATAATAAAAATAATAACAGTAATGATATTTGATTTTAGGATAATTAATTTATATATATTCATAATAGATTATATTGCTAGAGTTTCATATTATTTCTCAAAAATTTTAACTATTCTCAAATTGAAAATTCCGACAATATATTTGGGCTTGGGCCCAACTCGTAAAACTTTGGACTCAAATTAAGATTGTTTAGTGTTTATAACACATATAGTAGAAAATCGAGATTTTTGATTTAATAAAAATTTGAAAGTTTCGAAAATAAAAATTCGTGATATTTCAATGATAAAGTTGCTAGCTGCACAACACCTTCATATGGTTAAATATACACTTGAGAATAGCATTATCATTAATTCTTGGAAAAGCCATTGCGTTCTAACTTAAGAATGATCAATATTAAAAAAAAAAAACAAAAAAAAAAAAAATTAAATATGCAAAAACTTAAATATTCAAGAATCAGTCATCAATCATTATTGGAATGTGCTAAATCATGTTAAATTCATTATTTGAAACTTGTTCACCAATAAAATCAGTCATGAAAATTCAAACAGGTAATATATAAAAACAACAAAGTTATCAAATGATATGCCAGCCTTTTATAAATTAGTTCATTATCGATTGAAATTATTTGAAAGTAAAGAGTTGAATTTTGTGAGACAAAATTTCATCACTATTATAGACAGTTAGATTGAAGTATTCACACAAAATACAAATTAAAGAAAACCTATAAAAAAATAATTAAATAAAAAATAGATTAAGCATATACTTTGCTCCCCTTCAAAACTGTCACGTGTGAATATTATATGGCTTTCCTATAACCCTTTGGCGATTACTTTTTGTTTGCTTAATGGCAAAATGATTTGAGCTGAAAATTGGATGAAAATCCTTCACTTGAGATTTGGAGCAGCAATTAGTGCCGGTAGTAGAAATAACTTTGTGCATAAAATTGAGATTATTCTGGAGAATTCCATACATTGAAGTAATTAACTTTTGTGCAAAACTGCTAATAGAAAAATTAAGCATTATGTATAAGATTGGTATATCGACCATTCAGAAAGATTCTTATTAGATATCAGTCTCACTTTCATTTTAAGAGATAAAAATTCAAGCAAGATTGCGTGTATACATATACATATACATATATTTGTGAAACTTTAGGAATCTAATATCGGGTTATATATTGATAAGATGACTCTTTAACATGTCAAAATGCCGCATTCATTTACATCCTTTTTATATTTTCCTTGACTTATTTTTACGTTCATATATACAATCTGAAGAATTATAATGGTTGCTCGCAACAGCTAGCATTGCTTTCGGGGGTAGGAAATAGAATAAAAGTCCAAAAGCTTGAGGTAGCTGTGTAGTGTAGTGACTCCGTCTTAACCAAATAAAAGTATATTGTATATACTTATTTAATCAGGCAACAATATATATATTTTTTTACATCTAGAATAAGTGCTTTAGGGGGCTGATAGGCGTTTCAATCATCCTGCATGTGACTCCATTATTTGATAATGGATAACATTAAGAACAATTAATTCATAATAGTTTGAAATTGTTATGTAATTTATATATTTTCACCTCGGTTTATATAAGCTTGCTAGCTACTTAGAGGATTAAAATGACGAACTGAGTTCTTAGACTAAAGAAGATTTCATCTTGTTAAGAGGGGGCAACATGGTGCCATTCCCTGGTTCCACTCTCATATGTATGCTAAATGCACAATTTGAATATGAGAGATTAGGCTTTTGCATCTAGTTTTGGGGAACAGCTACAAAAATGGTAGAAATGCTTGTTTAGTTGTTTCTTTCTAAAAGGATCTAGTTTGATAATTTGGGTACACCTTTCTAAGAGGATCTAGTTTGACAATTTAGGCTATCATTTCTCTCCCAATTTGTGTTTAGATTTATTTTTTATTTTGTTAGAATGTTTTTATGCATAACACATTGCATACATGCAATCATGCTATTTTTTCCGTTAAGGAATTCAGTTTGCTTTCGTTTCATACTCCACCCATCTATGATTTTTTTTGCTTGGGTAAATAAAGAGTGCAAAAGCTCTTAATGATACAAAATAAGTCTTGGGTATGTTATACCCACATTATCATGCAGTATCCATGAAGACAAGCCAGGAGGGGGACTCGAAAGAGTATGAGTGCCTAACGGATAGTCTCTAGCAACTTTAGAAAGGAAGTCGGTATCAAAATTCGCCTCTCTATAGACGTGACTAATCTCACAGCTGCTGAAATAGTGAATAAGATGTTGAATGCCAATAACTAATTGTTGGAGAGCACCAGAAGATTGTGTGTTTCCTTTAAGGAATTGGACCACCACCAAGCTATCACATTCGACTTGCAAGTGTTGGATGCCTAAGTTCTTAGCAAGATGTACCCACTTATGATTTTTAGTTCATAAAGTGTTAGGAAATATGATATACACAAAGCACTAATGATATTATTATAGCCACCACTAGCTTTACAAAAATAATCTCACAGGAGAAACTCACGTTCCCTTGGAAACTTGTCATCCCTCCAAGGTATTTCTATAGGATATAACAAATTGAGGGGAAATATTCCCAAAGAATTGGGACGATTAACGAGCTTAAGAGTTTTTTTTTTTTTAATTATAGTCAACAACCTGAGTGGTACAGTTCCTTCCAGTATAATTAACTACATCAAATATTGGTGGAGCACTGAAGCAAAGTTTGATTCTCCCTCCATCTCACGGGTTTGGTGTTTGGGTGTAACTTGTTGGTTCACTCAATCTCACGGGTCCCTCAACATAAAGGGCTCTGATACCATTCTGTTGGTATTTTTAATCTGAAACTTAAAGAAAAATATGCAAGACAAAGATATATTTGAACTGCTGAAGACATGCATTTATTAAAAATATTATAGATATTTATAGGAAGAGATATAACAGAAAATTAGCAAATCACGCTACATGCATATATTTTTACTCCATATTGAGCATACCTGATTATTCCAAAAAATCAGCAACAAAATAAAACCACGTTTTAACAAAAACTTCAAACTTCAGCAGCCTCTTAGCAAAAACCATATCAGCTCATAAGACTAATATCCAATACCTTTCTTTTGACATGGAATGTAGTGTGTAAAATATAGTATGGACGAGGATTGCTGGGTTTATGAGAAAATGATATTTAAGTGTTATGGTGTTAGTCCAATTGAAAATATAGGCAAAGTTAATAACAGGCACACTAGCAAGTGGGCTCCAAGGGAACCTCGCCATTGTGAGCTGCTTCAAATGCGTTATAATCGGATATAGTTGTTTGAAAATTTTGATGTTCATTTTTTTTTTCTAGAGCTGCACTCATATCCTTTCCTTTTGCATGGAATTTAGTGTGTAAAATATAGTAGTAAGGAAGATTGCTGGGTTGAGGAGGAAATGATAATCAAGCGTTGTGGTTTTACTCCAACTGGAAATATTGACAATATTAAGTTGAGGTACTCTAGTGAGTAGGCTCCAGGAGGGCCACGTCACTGTGAACTGCTTCAAGAAGGTATGTTCGTTGGTCATAAATATGAGTTTATTTCAGTCATCCATTTTCTTTATTTTTATAAAGCTGAGTTTTTGTGGTTTCTGACCTTATATTTTCTAAGAGATGCTTGTTTGAATACTTGTAGAATTGGGTTGTAGTTATAATTCCTATACTGATCTCTTGAGAATAAAACACATTCACTATGAGGCTGCTTTTGGATGTGATTGTGGGGCTTTAAATAAAATTCTTTGACACATTTGTATTTATGTGTAGTTTGATCCTTAACCCTTTTTCTAAATATGGAATGCAGTGTATAGCACACGAAAGGAAGGAAAAGTGTTGGCCTTATGAGAAAATGATATCTCAGCGTTGCGATGGTGTTACTGCAACTGGAACTAAGTAGCAAGTATCTGGGCCGAAAGGGATCTCAAGATGAACAAGTATGATAGTTGATTAGCTGAATTATTTATGTTAAACCTACTTAACTTAGCTGAATTATGGTAGCAATATATGTTAAATATGCTTAATTTAGTTCTTAACTGAAATAATTGGTAGGAATAGTTGTTTAATTTTTTTCTTTTCTGGAACCTGAATTATTTATAACAAGTCATTTGTGATAATGTATGAATACATGTACTTTTCCCAATTCTAATATGTTCTTTTTTCTAAATTTCAGTTGTATCTTCATCTTCTTCATTATTTCTCTCGCTTAATGAACAAAGTAATAATTTCTTTAGAATATAAATTATAATGAAAACTTCAGATTGTATATAGTCAAATCTGCATCCATCAAATTTATAATTAAGTCTTTCAACTTTGAAAAATAGAATTAATTGTAAGGTAGTCAACTTCGCATAAAACAACACGCAATGGTCAAGAAGTCAAAGCTGTTGCCATCTTATCTATTAACGCGTTTGTAGACTTGGAGTTTCTTCGGTCTTCTTCAACATTTCTTTATCTTTCTATAATTTTATATTTGTGTTTGTTTTGTTTTTATATTTGTTCATTTCTCATTTTAAAGGCATGCAGTCATTGTTAAAGACTGAACACCATGTTATATCTCATTACACGTGCAATTTTATGTAACAAATGGAACACCCTGCACCTGCACACTTAGTAACACTTTTTACTTCAGTCCTTCATGTTCATGTTCACGTGCTTTTCTTAACCTGTACAAGCATCCTGTTCTTGCAAACTACTGATTGCGTCAGTACGTTAGGGAATGAAACCGATCGACTTGGTCTTTTGGAATTCAAAGCCAAAATAGGCAGTGACCCATATGGCATCTTAAGCTCATGGAATGATTCTCTCAGCTTCTGCAATTGGCAAGGAGTTACCTGCAGTCCCAAACATGAAAGAGTTACATCTCTGGAACTGCAAGGGCTGAGCTTGTCTGGATCCATATCTCCATGGGTAGGGAACCTCACCTTCTTGAGGTTCCTCAATCTTGCTGTCAATGAAGTACATGGTGAAATTCCCCAAGAACTTGGCCATACATGTACTTTTCCCAATTCTAATATGTTCTTTCTTCTATATTTCAGTTGTATCTTCGTCTTCTTGATTATTTCTCTCGCTTAATGAACAAAGTAATAATTTCTTTAGAATATAAATTATAATGAAAACTTCAGATTGTATATAGTCAAATCTGTATCCATCAAAATTATAATTAAGTCTTTCAACTTTGAAAAATCGAATTAATTGTAAGGTAGTCAACTTCGCATAAAACAACACGCAATGATCAAGAAGTCAAAGCTGTTGCCATCTTATCTATTAACGCGTTTGTAGACTTGGAGTTTCTTCGGTCTTCTTCAATATTTCTTTATCTTTCTATAATTTTATATTTGTGTTTGTTTTGTTTTTTTTATTTGTTCATTTTTCATTTTAAAGGCATGCAGTCATTGTTAAAGACTGAACACCATGTTATATCTCATTACACGTGCAATTTTCTGTAACAAATGGAGCACCCTGCACGTGCACACTTAGTAACCCTTTTTACTTTAGTCCTTCATGTTCATGTTCATGTGCTTTTCTTAACCTGTACAAGCATCCTGTTCTTGCAAACTACTTATTGCGTCAGTACGTTAGGGAATGAAACCGATCGACTTGGTCTTTTGGAATTCAAAGCCAAAATAGGCAGTGACCCATATGGCATCTTAAGCTCATGGAATGATTCTCTCAGCTTCTGCAAATGGCAAGGAGTTACCTGCAGCCCCAAACATCAAAGAGTTACATCTCTGGAACTGCAAGGGCTGAGCTTGTCTGGATCCATATCTCCATGGGTAGGGAACCTCACCTTCTTGAGGTTCCTCAATCTTGCTGTCAATGAAGTACATGGTGAAATTCCCCAAGAACTTGGCCGCCTATATCGACTAAGACATATCAACCTAACCAAAAATGCACTGACAGGAGAAATTCCAATCAACCTTAGCTACTGCTCCGAGCTGAAGATTTTGGATCTCTCTAATAACCGCTTGGTGGGGAAAATTCTTCCCGAGTTAGGCTCTTTAAAGAAGCTTGTGTTGCTCAGGCTTTATATAAACAATCTCACAGGAGAAATCCCACAGTCCGTTGGAAACTTGTCATCCCTTCAAGTTATTTCTGTAGGAAGTAATAATTTGCGGGGATATATTCCCAACGAATTGGGACGATTAACAAGCTTAACATTTATTTCAATTATAATCAACAATCTGAATGGTACAGTGCCTTCCAGTATATACAATATCTCATCCATAACCTTGCTTTCTTTTACCCAGAATCAACTCAAAGACAGTCTTCCACCAAATATAGGCCTTACGCTTCCTAACCTGCGAGTATTTCAGAACGGCGTGAACCAATTCTATGGAGCTATTCCAATTTCACTTGCTAATGCTTCCCATCTTGAAATGTTTGACATCTCTAGCAACTCTTTTACAGGAGAAGTTCCAACCAGTTTTGGAGATTTGAAAAGTCTTCGACACCCAGTTTTGGAGATTTGAAAAGTCTTCGACACCTCAATTTGGGACGCAATTTCCTTGGAAATAACACAAGTCAAGATTTGAGTTTCGTAACATCCTTGAGAAACTGCAGCAATTTACAAAAACTATATTTTGATGTCAATAATTTTGGTGGTGTATTGCCTAGCAGCATATCCAATATGTCTTCCCTCTTTGCACTTACTCTGGGAGGCAACCAAATATCTGGCAAAATTCCAGCAGACATTGGGAATCTCGTTAACTTGTATGTCTTGGGCATGGAGGTCAATCTTTTTTCTGGCAGCCTCCCCCTTTCTCTTGGAAAGAATCAACAGCTGCAGATATTGTATTTACATACGAATAAACTATCCGGACAAATTCCTGCATCCTTAGGTAACATTAGCCAGTTATGTCATCTTTTATTATTCAAAAACAAATTAGAAGGTAATATACCATCAAGTTTAGGTCACTGTATAAATCTGCATTACCTAGATCTAGCAGCAAATAACCTGATAGGTACCATACCCCAAGAGATCATTGGCTCGTCCTCTCTATCTTTGGTTCTTAACTTATCTCATAACACATTGATAGGTCCCATACCCCAAGAAGTTAGCAAATTAAAAAACATTGGTACAATAGATGTATCAGAAAACAAATTATCTGGCGAAATTCCGGAGGCAATAGGTGATTGTTTGAGCCTAGAAATCCTTTACATGCAGGGTAACTTCCTGCAAGGACCTGTTCCCTTATCTATCGCATCCTTAAGAGGTCCGTAAGAGTCTCAATTTTTAGACCTATCAAGAAACAAACTTATGGGAAAAATTCCAAAGGAGCTGGGAGAAACTTTTGTTTTGCAGTCTTTGAATCTTCATATAATAAATCTTAGTGACGAAGTGCCAAGAAAAGGAGTCTTTAAGCATGTCATGTGCAATCTTCTCTATTGGAAATATAATCTTTGTGGACAGGTATCCAAAATTTGATAAGCTTCCAGTTCGATGCCTGTCAAACAAAAGATAACACAGCTTCTCCCCATCATGTCATCCTATCCCTTGCCACCAACCCTTACGTTCTCACGTACGCATTTTGTGCATGACAGCTATACGTTCATCTCTTCTTTTCATACTGGTGCGAATAAGTCCAAGAAAGAGTCCATCTCCCATACCTCTTATTGTGGAAGTAGGCTTCCTCGAATTTCGTACAGCGCTAGACTCCTGCACCAGCGAACTGGGGCATCTCCTTTTTCAGACAAATTTTGATTTTGCGACAAGTGTAGTTTTTGGCGTACAGTGTACTAGAGGAAATCTTGGATCAGCCAAGGCAGAGTATTTAAGATCTGCTGTAAGGTACTCAACTACACAGCATCGAAGGGCTTCCAAGAGCTCATTGCGAGGTGCAATACATACTACGAATATTACGGCACCGAGAAATTCTGGTAAGGGTACTGCACCATTTATTCTGCCTCTTAGTTGCGAATTTCCTCAAAGTAAATCGATTTCAAAGCCTCTGCAAGCTGCGCATTGATTCTTCATAGGCAAATGGGAACTTTTAGCAAATTCTCAAATCCCATAAGAAATCCAAGACAGTAATGATCAGCCAAGAAGTCTATAATACCTCTTCAGAGACTTCAACATTGCAACTGATCTGGACACTTCTGCATCTGCATTATCATCCCATGACAACTTGTTTTGACACAACTTACCAAATCACTTCACTTCTTGGAAACAGCATATTCCTATCTTGAGATGACATGACGCGCACATGTCTGTGACTTTTGGATTAGCAAGGGCTTTTGGTCTAAACCTAGCCAAATACCTTCTCATTCAAGGCCAACCACGCTCGATTGGGATGACACAGGAACAAGATTGCTCGATTGGGATGAAGGGAACAATTGGATGTATGGCTCCAGGTAAAATTTTCTTTACATGTTGCTTCATCAAATTAACTAACATTTATAGAAAATGAAAATGTAATAGTCAATTGATATTTCTCACCTTAAATGTTTCAGAGTATGGAGTAGGCAATGCAGCTACAACATCTGGAGACACATATAGCTTTGGAATAATTATGTTGGAGATGTTCACAGGAAAGAGACCAACCGATGAAGTATTTACAAATGGTTTCAATCTCCATAAATTTGTTAGAACTAAGCTTCCAGAACAAGTCAATCAGGTTATGGATCCAATTCTTTTCCCAACAGGAAAAATAGGGATAGCATCAAACAGTGTGGATGATAATGATGAAGAAAATATCCAGGAATGTAACATTAGTATTGAAAATTTGAGAGTAGAGGAAGGGAATTTGGAGAAATGTATTGTGTCAGTCCTTAAAATTGGAGTGGCATGCTCAGAAGAATTACCAGAAGATCGAATGAATATTTGGGATGCTACAAGAAAACTAAACGTCATCAAAGATGCATTTCTTCGTGCAAGTACTCCTTGAGATCAGAAAACAAGAAATTGAGCTACAACATTATTTATCAATTTGTGAGTAAAGGGGGAGCTACCCCTGTTATATAGACTATAATATTATTTGATCTGTTGAACCTTTTAACGCATAAAAAAAATTAAAATTAGCGTCTATTTCAATTAATATGTTTACATATTCTTCCTCTTTTATAATTGTATATTTACTTTTTATAATTACATTTATATATTATATAACTTCAAATTTATTCATCCAAAAGCTGTAGTTGGTTCCTAACATGACTTATAATGCTGCTAGCTACTAGGTTAAGCTTGAGCACAGTCCAGCTGGCTGTAGTTCGGTTCCTAACCCACTTGACCTCTATCACAATAACAACTATGCTGCTAGACTACTCAGGTTAAGCTTTGAGCTCATCAGTCCAGAGCTGATCCCGGTTTCTTAATAATGAAAATTTCAAACAAGCTAAAAGTCCTATTTAAAAAGTTTATGCTGCGAATCAAAGCAAACTAAATTCTAAACAAAACTTTTTTATAATTCTTAAAAATCGCATCACTAAGACGTTTCATTTCTGTGGTTTAATGTCAATACATATTCTTCCTCTTTTATAATTGTATATTTACTTTTTATAATTACATTTATATATTATATAACTTCAAATTTATTCATCCAAATGCTGTAGTTGGTTCCTAACATGACTTATAATGCTGCTAGCTCCTAGGTTAAGCTTGAGCACAGTCCAGCTGGTCCGGCTTTAAAAAATTTCAAAACCAAGCTAAAAGTTGCTATTTGAAAATTTATATGGAATCAATTAAAAAAAAGTAGTTTAATACAGTTCATTTTGTGGTTTGATGCCATAAAAAAAATTTATGCATCAATCAATTAAACTATAAAGTACATATTCTTCCTCTTTTATAATTGTATATTTACTTTTTATAATTACATTTATATATTATATAACTTCAAATTTATTCATCCAAATGCTGTAGTTGGTTCCTAACATGACTTATAATGCTGCTAGCTCCTAGGTTAAGCTTGAGCACAGTCCAGCTGGTCCGGCTTTAAAAAATTTCAAAACCAAGCTAAAAGTTGCTATTTGAAAATTTATATGGAATCAATTAAAAAAAAGTAGTTTAATACAGTTCATTTTGTGGTTTGATGCCATAAAAAAAATTTATGCATCAATCAATTAAACTATAAAGATTTTACAACTACATATGACGAACTTTTAAAAAAAAAAAAACAAAAATTGAATAGAAAAACAAGATTTGATTAAACAAAAACACAGTTTGATTGGATGGTGACTTTTTTTCTTAACACGTGAATTGTTGTCAATACAGCTTGGTTCGGTTTTAACTATTTGATTGAATAACAATCTAACCAAACAGATTCAAAGACGGGTTTATCAACTTTCAAATCAAACCACACCATTAAAATGGTACCGTAGAAAATTGACGATTTGACGTGTTATGATTATTTAACTGTTTAAAGCGTTTAACGCACTCCCCTATGGCTAACGCGAATTCTTCCACACGCGCTGTCCTTTTTCTAATTATGCGAAGACTTGGAGTCTTCATACCACAATTTTTTCCACAAGTTGTCACATCTTCACTTTTTTTTTTTTTCTGATATTCCACAATTATGCGAAAGACTTCAGAAAATACTATTGACCTTCTAAGTCTACACGCTTCAAAGCTTGTATTTTCCTTTCATCTAATCACGTTACAAAGGACTTATTAGCGTCTTTGAAAACTCGACCAGACATCTAACAGGATTAAGGCCTATATATTTGTTAGGAGACTCCCTTTACCAGCACTTCAATTCATATAGAGCCCACTTGCTTGCCTTACGATATACATATATATCTCACTTCCACACAAATGGAGCTCCCTGCATCTGCATACTCTGTAACCCTTTTGATCTCAGTCCTTCATGTTCATGTGCTTGTCTTTTTCTGTGCAAGCATCCTGTGCTTGCAAACTGCTGATTGCCTCAGTATGTTAGGAAATGGGACCGACCGACTTGCTCTTTTGGAATTCAAAGCCAAAATAGGCAATGATCCATATGGCATCTTAAGCTCGTGGAATGATTCTGTCAACTTCTGCAAATGGCAAGGAGTTTCCTGCGCCCGCAAACATCAGAGGGTTACATCTCTGAACCTGCAAGGGCTGAGCCTGTCTGGAGCCATATCTCCGAGTGTAGGGAATCTCACCTTCTTGAGGTTCCTCAACCTTGGTGCCAATGAATTCCGTGGTGAAATTCCCCAAGAAATTGGCCGCCTGTTTCGACTGAGACATATCAACCTGACAGATAATGCATTGGAAGGAGAAATTCCAATCAACATTAGCTACTCAGATAATGCATTGGAAGGAGAAATTCCAATCAACATTAGCTACTGCTCAGAGTTAAAGATTTTGCATCTCTCTAGTAACATCTTGGTAGGAAAAATTCCTCCCGAGTTAGGCTCTTTAAAGAAGCTTGTATCACTTGCGCTTTTTAAAAATAATCTCATGGGAGAAATCCCACATTCCCTTGGGAACTTGTCTTCCCTCCAAGCTGTTTCTCTAGCATATAACAAACTGAAGGGAAATATTCCCAATGAATTGGGACGATTAACAAGCTTAATGTTTCTTTTAGTTACAAGCAACGATCTGACTGGTACAGTGCCATCTAGCATATACAATATCTCCTCCATGACCATGCTTTCTTTTGCAGTGAATCAAATCAAAGGCAGTGTTCCAGCAAATATAGGCCTGACTCTTCCCAACTTACAAGTATTTGCATACGGCCTGAACCAATTCCATGGAACCATTCCACTATCACTTGCTAATGCTTCCCAGCTTGAAATGTTTGACATCTCTAGCAACTCTTTCACAGGAGAAGTTCCAACCAGTTTTGGAGATTTGAAAAGTCTTCGACTCCTCAATTTGGGACGCAATTTCCTTGGAAATAACACAAGTCAAGATTTGAGTTTCGTAACATCTTTGAGAAACTGCAGCAATTTACAAAAACTACATTTTGATCACAATAATCTTGTTGGTGTATTACCTAACAGCATAATTAATATATCTTCCCTCATTAGCCTTAATCTAGAAAACAACCAAATATCCGGTAGAATTCCAGCAGAGATTGGGAATCTTGCTAACTTTAATGCATTAGGCATGGACCAAAATCTTTTTTCTGGCAGCCTCCCTATTTCTCTTGGAAAGAATCAACGGATGCAAATGCTGTATTTAAATAATAATAAACTATCCGGAGAAATCCCTGCATCCTTAGGTAACATCAGCCAGTTATATCATCTTGTATTAGCCACAAACAAATTAGAAGGGAATATACCAGCAAGTATAGGTAACTGCACAAATCTGCATTTCGTAGATCTAGCAGAAAATAAACTGACTGGTACCATACCCAAACAAATCATTGGCTTGTCTTCTCTATCTTTGGTTCTTGACTTATCTCAAAACTCATTGATAGGGCCCATACCCCAAGAAGTTGGCAAACTCAAAAATATCGGTACAATAGATATATCAGGAAACAAATTATATGGGGAGATTCCTAAAGAAATAGGTGATTGTTCGAGCCTTGAAATTCTTAACATGCAGGCTAACTTCCTTCAAGGACCCATTCCCTTATCTATCGCATCCTTAAGAGGTCTACAATCTTTAGACCTGTCAAGAAACAAACTGACAGGAAAACTTCCAAAGGAGCTGGAGAAACTTTTGTTCTTGCAGTATTTGAATCTCTCCTTTAATAATCTAAGTGGTGAAGTGCCAAGAACAGGAATCTTTAACAATTTAAGTGCAATTTCTCTTGTTGGAAATAATAATCTTTGTGGAGGTACCCCACAATTGAAGCTTCCAGTATGCCCCGGCAAACAAAAGAAACACAGGTCTCCCATTGTCATTATCCTTGCCACAACCCTTAGTTCAGTAGCATTTTTAGTGACAGTAACGTTCTCCTCTCTTTTCTACTGCCGAAAGTCAAGAAAGAGTCCACCTTCAACACCTCCGATTGTGGATAGGCTTCCTCGAATTTCATATGCCGAAAGTCAAGAAAGAGTCCACCTTCAACACCTCCGATTAATAGTGGATCAGGCTTCCCTCGAATTCATACAAGGAACTCTTAAATACAAGGAACTCTTGCAAGCAACTGGGGGATTCTCTTCAGAGAACCTGATTGGACAGGGTAGTTTTGGCCTGGTGTATAGAGGAAGTCTTGATCAGCAAGCATACAGATTAGTTGCTGTAAAGGTACTCAACCTTCAACAACGTCAAGCTTCCAAGAGCTTCATTGCTGAGTGCAAAATATTGAGAAACTTAAGGCACCGGAATCTGGTAAAGGTATTGACATACTGCTCGAGCATTGATTTTAAAGGTAACGATTTCAAAGCTCTAGTGTTCGATTTCATGGCAAATGGGAGCTTAGAAATGTGGCTGCATCCAAGAGAAAATAATGGTAATGCTCAGTCAAGAAGTTCAAGAAGTTTAAACCTTCTGCAGAGACTTCAAATTGCAATTGACGTGGCTTCTGCACTGCATCATCTTCATGACAATTGTGAAGTACCAATCATTCACTGCGACTTGAAACCAAGCAATATTCTTCTTGATGATGACATGACTGCTCATGTTGGTGACTTTGGATTAGCAAGGCTTTGGTCTGAAACTCAAAATTCTTCCTCTCGAGGCCAAACCAGCTCAATTGGGATGAAGGGAACAATTGGATATATGGCTCCAGGTAAAAGTTCCCTTACATGCTTGCTTCATCAATTTAACTAACATTTATAGAAAAAGAAAATGTCAAAAGTCAATTATTGTTTCTCACCTTGTACATATGTTGCAGAGTATGGAGTAGGCAATGCAGCTACAACATCTGGAGACACATATAGCTTTGGAATAATTTTGTTGGAGATGTTCACAGGAAAGAGACCAACTGATGAAGTGTTCACAAATGGTTTGAGTCTCCACAGTTTTGTTAAATCTAAGCTTCCAGGACGAGTCAATCAAGTTTTGGACCCAATACTTTTTACAGCTGGAGATATGGGGACAGCAACAAACAATACCTATGAAAATGCGGGAGACGAGATCCAGGAAAGTATTGAAAATTTGAGAGTAGAGGGTGGAAATGTGGAAAAATGTATTGTATCAGTACTTAAAATTGGAGTGTCATGCGCAGCAGAATTACCAGAAGACCGAATGAAAATGAGGGATGCCACAAGAAAACTAAATGTCATCAAAGATGGATTTCTTCGTGCCAGGAACCCTAGAGATCAGAGAAGGGGAAATTAAAAGTCCACTAATTGCATCGAGAGTTGAACTCATGTGAGAAGATTTCTCTTTGGTATTGACCCTGTAAATCCTATTTTTAAGTTTATTTTTCAAATAATTAAGTCCAATTTATTTTTTACATTAATAACAGTATTTTAAACTATATATCTATCTATAATACATATAAAGTAAATGAAGTTACGATGCATTGTGCGAGTGTTTTTTTATTATCCAATTCAAAATTAAAATAAAGATAAAGACAGAGAAATTAAGTCATCACTATACAAAACTAAAATGTGAAGGTTATACCGAAATTATACCTGATAACATTGATAAAGGAGCATTTCAATTAACGACAATTCAAAATTCAAAATTATGTAATTGAATAAAACTATCTAGTTAACAACATGTAAAAGCAATAGAACATCTTCTTCGACAGTAGCACGTAATTTGTTAAAAAAAAAATCAATCCGTAACTATTAATTTTTCAATTTAAAATATATTTTAGTAGCCAATCAATTTGTAAAATTAATGTGAGCTGCTAATATAACAGAATATTGGTCTTTTAAACGTAATATATACTCCATCTTTATAAGAACAATAAAAAGTAAGAATGACGTTACTATAGCATTGTTGCGAGTGACATATATTGGGTGTATGTAATCTCAGGATTCAAAAATTATAAAACATGAGATTGAGAAACATAGAGAAAATATATAACCCAGTCAAGTTGATCTATAACAAAAATCTAATGAATATGAACGTTGTAACGCTATACACAAGAAATGCTAACTACCCTGAAACATTGATTGGATAAAACCCATGAGCTACATTACATAATTAACAACAATAATCATAAATTTTTTAAGTTTATTTTTCAAATAATTAAGTACAATTTATTTTTTACGTTAATAACAGTATTTTAAACTATATATCTATTTATAAGACATATAAAGTAGATGAAGTTACTTGCATTGTGCGAGTGCTTTTTTATTATCCAATTCAAAATTAAAATAAAGATAAAGACATAGAAATTAAGTCATTACTATACAAAACTAAAATATGAAGGTTACACCGAAATTATACCCTGATAATATTGATAAATGAGCATTTCAATTAACGACAATTCAAAATTCAAAATTATGTAATTGAATAAAACTATCAAGTTAACAACATGTAAAAGCAATAGAACATATTCTTCCATAGTAGCACGTAATTTGTTAAAAAAAAATCAATTCGTAACTATTAATTTTTCAATTTAAAAAATATTTTAGTAGCCAATCAATTTGTAAAAATGATAGTAAAAAGGGAAAAAAGCTCAAAAAAATTTTTTTTTAAAGAAAAGAAAAATAAGAATGCTAGAAGAGTAGAGTGCCACATCGGCATTTTGAAATATTTTTTTGCTTCATATATATTATATACTAGTCGTAAACCCGCGCTTCACATGCGACTATATATATAATTTGTAAATTTAAAAATTTTAGATAAATTTTATTTTAAAATAAAAATGAGAAATAAAACAATTAATACAATTTATTGACAAAAAAAAAATAAAAATTAAGCAAATAATTTTTTTTCCTACCTCAAACGTGTTTTTCTGATATATAAGTTATAAAAGGATCACGTATCCTAATTATTGTTTTGAAAAAATAAGTATAAGAGATGAAAAATAAAAATTCAAATTTAAGCTATAGATGTAGGTAATATAATTTTTTACAAGCAATATAGTAATTTTTAAAAGGAAATTATTAGATATAATTTTTAATATTTGGATAATAAAATTAAATTTTAAATGATAAGTTCAACACTTTAAATATAATTGCTTAGGTATTTGAATTCTTAATATTTTAAATTTTTATTTTACTATTTAAATTAAATAAAAACAAATCCTAAAATTTTTCTTTCGCAAAAAATAAAATTTCATGTTTTTTTCGTTCCATGCTTCCAGCCCTTTGTTGTGCATGCTTGTCACAACCCGTTTCCATGGGCGGAACCGGCACTAGGGCCCAGGTAAGGTTAAGGCCCCCGAGACCTGTAGTAAGCCTGAAACGCTAAAATCTACTATCTCAATATAAATTTCAAACATTCAACGCATATTACTAGGAAAATAAACCTCAAGATTTTATTATATCTCGGCTCAAATTTATCACCTTCAACATTCTACAGTTCGATCCCAATTTACAATATATCACATTTTTAATATGGGCTTACAAAATTATTTCATCTATATTAATACACGATTAAATGTATGTAAATTCCACAACTGCGGAGTCACTAACTGTTTGATATACATAGCTTTTTATACTAATAACAGCGAGATGTAAAATGTATGTGAAAAATTCCGGAAACCAACATAGCTGAGTGTAAGTCAGCTAAACTGTTTAGATATTCATCGAGCTTTTACATTATGTTACAATATAGTTACCATAGCAACAAATAATATATGGAATATACTTAGCCGAAGATTTCTTTCATAGCCCATAAGCAGCGAAAAAGAAAAACTATAGCCTAATCCAAATATGAAATTTGACAACACTGTACTTGCCTAAAAAATTTAAACAACACTATGTGCAGTTTCTAGGAGTAAATTAATTACCTGTGCACAACACAACGCATTCACACAAATGTGTAAATATATCAGATTTATGTCGCTATTATACAACACAGCGCATTTCAACACAAATTACGTCCCAATATCCTCTAGAACCAAATGGGTCATAAACGAACAGCAGTTACTCATCACTTATTATTCTCACCACATTACGACATAATCACAAATATCATGTGGATAATTGGTTTTGTGGCGCTCACCTCCCAACCCCCAATAGAGACTGTCTTTGCAGAGCCCACATGGAGCTCCCAGATGAGCTTATATATTTATTTCCTAATTTAGTTGGCTCCCGAAGACCTTTATGGAATCTTAGAGATTATCGTGGCTGCTCTAAAAAATTAAACAAGACATGTGAGTTTTCTAAGGAGTAATAATTATTGCACAACACACGCATTCACACAAATGTGTAAATATATCAATTTAGTCTTATTATCAACACACGCATTCACACAATTTAGTCTTACACAAATGGCAAAACAACAGCACTCACACTTATTATCAACTTCACATAATCACATCATGTGGAAATTGGTTTGTGGCGTCACCGAAACCCCCAATGAGCTGTCTTCACACATGGCCCACCCATGGTTTATTTATTTATTTATTTGTGAAACTTTAGGAATCTAATATCGGGCTGTATATTTATATGATGACTCTTTGCTTGACTTATTTTACGTTCAGATATACAATCTTAAGAAGTATAATGGTTGCTTGCAACAGCTAGCATTGCTTTCGAAGGTAGAAAATAGAATAAAAGTCCAAAACCTTGAGGCAGCTGTGTAGTGTAGTGACTCCGTCTTAACCAAATAAAAGTATATTGTATATACTTATTTAATCAGGCAACAATATGTATATATTTTTACATCTAGCATAAGTGCTTTAGGGGGCTGATAGGCGTTTCAATCATCCTACATGTGACTCCATTATTTGATAATGGATAACATTAAGAACAATTAATTCATAATAGTTTGAAATTGTTATGTAATTTATATATTTTCACCTCGGTTTATATAAGCCAGCTAGCTACTTAGAGGATTAAAATGACGAACTGAGTTCCTAGACTAAAGAAGATTTCATCATGTTAAGAGGGGGCACCATGGTGCCATTCCCTGGTTCCACTCTCATATGTATGCTAAATGCACAATTTGAACATGAGAGATTAGGCTTTTGCATCTAGTTTTGGGGAACAGTTGCAAAAATGGTAGAAATGCTTGTTTAGTTGTTTCTTTCTAAAGGGATCTAGTTTGATAATTTGGGTACACCTTTCTAAAAGGATCTAGTTCGGTAATTTAGGCTATCATTTCTCTCCCAATTTGTGTTTACATTTATTTTTTATTTTGTTAGAATGTTTTTAGGCATAACACATTGCATACATGCAATCATGCTATTTTTTTTGTTATGGAATTCAATTTCCTTTCGTTTCAATAAGAAAGTATCAGCACGGATATTGCTTTTTGGCTTCAACATGTGATAGCCTTGCAGCAGATGTTGCAGCTGGGTCTGGCTTTAAATGATTCAGTTGTTGGCTTAGAGTTGGAGGTGGGTCAAGTGAATATGATGAGGATAATAATCTCATAGTCCTTGGGCTAAAGGGGGACCTCTCCACTGTGAGAGCCTTCAAAGAATTTATGATCAAATATGCTTGATGGATATTTTGATGCTTATGTTTACTTACCAGTACAGGTAGCAATGTGTGCACATGCTACTTAATTTATTGCATAGTTGTTTTTAACTAAAAGCAAAGTTATGTAAAGAGAAACTCATTTATAAGATTTAGAAGCCCAACATGCTTGTTAATAAATTGAAAGCTCATGCAAACCAATGAACTTTAGTTGCCCTAGCTAGAATTATTTTGATCACCCATTTTCTCTCCATTACGCATTCTTTATTCTCGTATTGTTGAATCTTTGTGGCTTCTGCCCACATGTTTCCTAAGAGTGACTGTTTAAAGGACTTTTAAATTTATTCTAGTTATAATTCTTATACTAATATCTCTTGTAGTGAAACAATCGTTGTTTGCTGTGAGGTAGCACATACATTATGCGGTCACTGGTTATGGATTTAAATAGGACAAAAGCAAACAAAATGAAGGGAAAAAGTGTTAAGACATTTGTGTTACCTTGCAGTTTTTTAAAATTGATTTTCATCTTGTTTTTCTTAGCATTTGGACCTATATCCTTTCTTTTGACATGAAATGTAGTGTGTAAAATATAGTATGGACGAGGATTGCAGAGTTTATGAGAAAATGATATTTAAATGGTTTGGTGTTAGTTCAACTGCAAACACAAGCAAAGTTAATAACAGGTGTACTAGTGAGTGGGCTCCAGGGGGACCTCGCCATTGTGAGCTGCTTCAAATGCGTTATAATCGAGTATGGTTGTTAGACATGTTGATGGTTAGATCGCTTATCTATATAATATATGTAGCTATATGTACACATTGCATAGTTGTCTTTAATTAAAAGCTGAGTTATTTATAAAGTGGAATTCATTTGTAAGATTTAGAACTTCGTCATATTTCTTAATAAATTGAAAGCTTATACAAACCTAAACCTATGAACCTTAGTTGACCTAGCTAGAATTTTCTATCATCTATTGATCATTCTTTATTTTGGTGCCGTTGAATCTTTATGGCTTCTCTCATGTTTTTTGGGAAGACTGTTTTAGGGACTTTTAAATTTTTTCTTGTATTAATATCTCTTGCAGTAGGACAAAAGTTGTTCACTGTGAGGCAGCACATGCATTATGTGGTTAATGTAAATGGATTTAGAAAAAACAAGATGAAGGGAAAAATGTGTTGGGACATTTTTTTTTACATGTGGTTTGAAATTTTGATTTTCATTTATTTTCTAGAGATGCACTCATATTTTTTCTTTTTGCATGGAATTTAGTGTGTAAAATATAGTAGTAAAGAGGATTGCTTAGTTGAGGAGAAAATGATAATCAAGCGTTGTGGTTTACTCCAACTGCAAATACTGACAATATTAAGTTGAGGTACTCTAATGAGTGGGCACCAGGAGGGCCTCGTCACTGGAACTGCTTCAAGAATGTATGTTTATTGGTCATTTCGATGGTTAGTCTATGTGTAACCTAAAGTTTATTTCAGTCATCCATTTTCTTTATTTTCATAAAGCTGAGTTTTTGTGATTCATGACCTCATATTTTCTAAGAGATGCTTGTTTGAAGAGCTGTAGAATTGGTTGTAGTTATAATTCCTCTATTGGTTTCTTCAGAATAAAACACATTCACTATGAGGTTGCTTTTGGATGTGGTTGTGAGACTTTAAATAAAATTCTTCGACACATTTATATTTATGTGTCTTAACCTTTTTAACAAATATGGAATGTAGTGTGTAGCACGCGAAGGGAAGGAAAATTGTTGGCCTTATGAGAAACTGATATCTCAGCGTTTCGTTGGTGTTACAGCAGCTGGAACTAAGTAGCAAGTACTTGGGCTCAAAAGGGATCTCAAGTATGGTAGTTGATTAGCTGAATTATTTATGTTAAACCTACTTAATTTGGCTAGCAATATATGTTAAATCTGCTTAATTTTGTCCTTAGCCGAAAGAACTGATAGAAACACTTGTTTAATTTTTTCTTTTCTCAAAGTTGAATTATTTATAAAAAGTCATCTCTGATAATGTATGAATACATATACTTCCCCATGGAAAAAAATGCTGCTTTGTTTTATTCTTATGGAAAATAAAAAAAAATAACAGTTTTATTCTAATTGAATAAAATTACTTATTTGTATAAAAAGGAGCAAAATATTTAATTTGAAAAAATAAGATTCTATGCTATGGGAAAAAAAATAAATGTATTGAATAAATAATAATTATAAGTTTTATTAGCCATATAATAATTTCCTTCAAAAAAAATTAAGCAATATAATATAATTGAAAGAAGATATATACAATTTTTTAAAAAATATATAGATTTTAATACTTATTAAATCAAACCAAGTTTGATCCGTTGATCCAATATATATCATCATACTCCACCCATTTATGATTTTTTTTTTTTTTTTTTTTTTTTTCTCAGATAATGTATGAAATACAAATATACTTACCCCATGGAAAAAAATATGTGGCGTGCTTGTGGTATTATCTATCCTATGGATAAATAAAAAAAGAAAAAAATAATTACATTTTTTAATTCTAGATTGACATAAAATTATGCCTCAACACTATTTTTGGTATAGGAGAAAGGAAACGGAAATGAAATATGTTAATTTTGATAAAAATTAAGATTCTTGCTTATGGTGGCGTTTTAAAAAAATTAAATGTAGGTTTGGAATAAACTCACAAATCTATAGTTTTATATTTATGCTCATTCATTGTGAATATTGTCCTTCACAAAAAATCTACTTACAAGCAAATATTCAAAATTATAATTGAAAAGAAGAGTAATATATTCAATTTTTCATAAAAAATTACCCTATAAGCATATTTTTATACTTATTAACATCAAACCAAAGTTTTGATTCCAAATGACCATTCCAATTAATATCTTAAGCTCGAGTCGAGTACTCCACCTCATTTATGATTTTTTTTATTTTTTTTTTTTTTTTTTTGCGTAATAGATGATAACTGAAACATGATAGAGATCGTGAATGCGATAATCAAATATATAGCCGTACTTGCCGTATTCTATATAGGTTAACCTCAGCGCGAGCATATAAATCATGCAGTATCTACCATGAAGACAAACGCATTAGGCCACTCATACTTCTTTCGAGCTCCCCACCCCGGTTGTCTTCATGAGATACTGCAGAAGCGTATGTGGGTGAGACTCGATATAAATAGTTGGAGTGATGTTAACGCTGCCTAATACCAAATATGGCTCTTATTTTAGTGTTCTACTACAGGATCCTTATTCAAGTTTCTTCTTTTTAAGAATAAGCCCGAAATAAAACAAAGATCAAAGAAACAATAAAAAATTCGATATGTCTTTTTTTTTTTTTTTTTTTTTTTTTGGTAAATAAAGAGAATGAAAGATCTTAATGATACAAAATAGGTCTTGGGTATGTTATACCCACATTATCATGCAGTATCCATGAAGACAAACCGGGTGGGAGACTCGAAAGAGTATGAGTGCCTAATGGGTAGTCTCTAGCAACTTTAGAAAGGAAGTCGGCATAAAAATTCGTCTCTCTATAGACATGACTAATGTCACAGCCGCTGAAATGGTGAATAAGATGTTGAATAGCAATAACTAATTGTTGGAGAGCACCAGAAGATTGTGTGGCACCAAGCTATCACATTCCACTTCCAAGTGTTGGATGCCTAAATTCTTAGCAAGATGTACCCATTTATGATTTTTAATTCATAAGGTGTTAGGAAATATGATATACACAAAGCACTAATGATATTATTATAACCACCACTAACTTCATTTCGCGTATCACAAAATTACAATAGTTTGCTGCTCCACGCAAATGGAGCTGCACGCACTAACTTCATTTCGTGTTTCACAACATTACCAACAAATCTTTTACCATCACTTCCCTGCATATATACACACTTGCTTGCCTTTCAGTATATCATATCCACTCAAATGGAGCTCCCTCTATCTCTACACTCAGTAACCCTCTTGACTTCACTCCTTCATGTTCATGTGCTTTTCTTAATCTGCACAAGCATCCTGCGCTTCCAAACTGCAGATTGCCACAAGAAGTTAGGAAATGAGACCGATCGACTTGCTCTTTTGGAATTCAAAGCCAAAATAGGCAATGATCCATATGGCATTTTAAGCTCGTGGAATGGTTCTCTCAACTTCTGCAAATGGCAAGGAGTTACATGCAGTCGCAAACATCAAAGAGTTACATCTCTGAACCTGCAAGGGCTGAGCTTGTCTGGAGTCATATCTCCAAGTGTAGGAAATCTCACCTTCTTGAGGTTCCTTAACCTTGGTTTCAATGAATTAAATGGTGAAATTCCCCCAGAAACTAGCCACCTGTTTCGACTAAGATATATCAACCTGACAGATAATGCACTGAAAGGAGAAATTCCAATCAATATTAGCTACTGCTCAGAGCTGAAGACTTTGGATCTATCTAATAACCGCTTGGTAGGGAAAATTCCTTCCGAGATAGGCTCTTTAAAGAAGCTTCTGTTCCTCGCGCTTTACAAAAATAATCTCACAGGAGAAATCCCACGTTCCCTTGGAAACTTGTCATCCCTCCAAGGTATTTCTATATCATATAACAAATTGAGGGGAAATATTCCCAACGAATTGGGACGATTAAAGAGCTTAAGATTTTTTTTAATTACAGTCAACAATCTGACTGGTACAGTTCCTTCCAGTATATATAATATCTCATCCATGACCTTGCTTTCTCTTACACAAAATCAACTTAAAGGCAGTGTCCCACCAAATATAGGCCTTACGCTTCCTAACCTGCAAGTGTTTCAAAACGGCCTGAACCAATTCCATGGAACCATTCCAATTTCACTTGCTAATGCTTCCCAGCTTGAAATATTTTCCATCCCTGGCAACTTTTTCACAGGAGAAGTTCCAACAAACGTCGGAGATTTGAATAGTCTCCGACTGCTCAATTTGGAAGACAATTTCCTTGGAAATAACACAAGCAGTCAGGATTTGAGTTTCTTAGCACCTTTGTCAAACTGTAGCAATTTACGGAAACTTTCTTTTGCTGGCAATAATTTTGGTGGTGTATTACCTAGCAGCATATCCAATATGTCTTCTCTCTTTGTCCTTAATCTAGGAACCAATCAAATCTCCGGCAAAATTCCAGCAGCCATTGGGAATCTTGTTAACTTGTATCAATTAGGCATGGAGGAAAATCTTTTTTCGGGTCCCATCCCCATATCTCTTGGAAAGAATCAGCAACAGCAGATGCTGTATTTGCATACAAACAAACTATCTGGAGAAATCCCTGCATCCTTAGGTAACATTAGCCAGTTATATCATCTTTTATTATACAGAAACAAATTAGAAGGGAATATACCATCAAGTTTAGGTCACTGCACAAATTTGCATTTGCTAGATGCAGCAGAGAATAACCTGACTGGCATCATACCCCAACAAATCATTGGCATGTCTTCTCTATCTTTGACTCTTAACTTATCTCATAACTCATTGATAGGTCCCATACCCCTAGAAGTTGGCAAACTGACAAAAATTGTTGAACTAGATATATCAGATAACAAATTATCTGGGGAGATTCCTAAGTCAATAGGTGATTGTTTGAGCTTAGAAATTCTTAACATGCAGGGTAACTTCCTTCAAGGACCCATTCCCTTATCTATTGGATCCTTAAGAGGTCTACAGCTTTTAGACTTATCAAGAAACAAACTGTCAGGAAATATTTCAAAAGAGCTAGAGAAACTTCTATTTTTGCAGTATTTGAATCTCTCCTTTAATAATCTAAGTGGTGAAGTACCAAGAAAAGGAGTTTTTAGCAATTTAAACACAATTTCTCTTATAGGAAATAATGATCTTTGTGGAGGTATCCCAAAATTGAAGCTTCCAGTATGCCCTGTCAAACAAATGAAACACAGGTCTTCCATTGTCAGAATCCTTGCCACAACCCTTAGTTCAATAGCACTTTCAGTGACAGTAGCATTCTTCTCTCTTTTCTACTGGAGAAAGTCAAGAAAGAGTCCACCTTCCACACCTTTTCTTGCGGTCAGCCTTCCTCGAATTTCGTACAATGAACTCTTGCAAGCAACTGGGGGATTCTCTTCAAACAACTTGATCGGACAAGGTAGTTTTGGCTCAGTGTATAGAGGAAGTCTTACTCAACAAGGGGAGAGATTAGTTGCTGTAAAGGTACTCAACCTTCAACAGCATGAAGCTTCCAAGAGCTTCATTGCTGAGTGCAAAGTGTTGAGAAATGTCAAGCACCGAAATCTGGTAAAGGTATTGACATACTGCTCTAGCATAGATTTTAAAGGTAATGATTTCAAAGCTCTAGTGTTTGATTTCATGGCAAAGGGGAGTCTCGAAATGTGGCTACATCCAAGAGAAAATAATGGCAATGACCAATCAAGAAGTTTAAACCTTCTTCAGAGACTTCAAATTGCAATTGATGTGGCTTCTGCACTGCATTATCTGCATGACGATTGTGAAATACCAATCATTCATTGTGATTTGAAACCAAGCAATATTCTTCTCGATGATGAAATGACTGCTCATGTTAGTGACTTTGGATTAGCGAGGCTTTGGTCTAAAACTGCAGATACTTCCTCTCAAGGCGAAACCAGCTCAATTGGGATGAAGGGAACAATTGGATATATGGCTCCAGGTAAAAGTTTCCTTACATGCTTGCTTCATCAAATTAACTAACATTTATAGTAAAAGAAAATGCCATAGTCAATTATTGTTTCTCACCTTATATGTTGTAGAATATGGAGTCGGCAATGCAGCAACAACATCTGGAGACACATATAGCTTTGGAATAATTTTGTTGGAGATTTTCACAGGAAAGAGACCAACTGATGAAGTTTTCGCAAATGGTTTGAATCTCCACAACTTTGTTAAAACTAAGCTTCCAGGACGAGTCGATCAGATTGTGGATGCAATACTTCTCACATCAGGAGATATAGGGACAACAACAAACAATATGGACGATAATGATCAAGAAGAGATCACTATTGAAAGTTTGAGAGTTGAGGGTGGCAGTGTGAAAAATTGTCTTGTGTCAGTCCTTAAAATTGGAGTGGCATGCTCAGAAGAATTGCCAGAAGATCGAATGAATATGAAGAATGCTGCAAGAAAACTAAATGTCATTAAAGATTCATTTCTTCGTGCAAGGAATCCTAGAGATCGGAGAAAGACAAATCCACAAATTGCATCAAAAAGTTCAACTCGTGCATATCATTGAAATTATGGGAACAAATTTCTCTAGATATTGATCCTTGTAGGCTGTATAAGCATCTATTCTTCAGCAAATAAACCTAAAGTTGAACTATCTATATATGTTTGAGCTGAATAATATACTCTATATGTATGAGTTTTTTTTTTTTTTTTTTAAGAAAATTTGGCAATTCATTGACAAGCAACACATAATAACATTTTCATAAAAGAAATATGAAATACAAATACAAATATCTCAGCCAAAGGTAGAGTTTAAAGTTAAGGGGACAAAGTATTAGCCACAAATGTTAGGCGAGCAAACCCAAACCACTAACGTCGTATATTTTTTTATATATATATAACTAAGAGGTTTAATTCCTCAGATTGCATAAGGTAAAAGTTTTTTATCCATTCCATTAAGTGTGTTTACCGGAATCAAATTTGTGTTTTCACTTACAGTATTGAGGTGGCTCGGCACCCACCCAATACATTATTGGTAACAATGCCCTCCTATTGATGAAGGTGAAATGTAGTATTTTTGTGTAGGGTTGTTTATTACAACAACTCCTAATTCATTACTGTTCTCTAAGGGCTAAAAGATAATGAATGTTTGTCCATACCCATCTTCTGCCACACATCTAGGCCCGGACAACCCATAACACTGACCCAACCCAAACAAGCCCAAATAATCCACAGCCATCAGATCAGACACCAATCAAGCAAATTAAACACCAGTCTTGCGATCCGGTTCTCCAAATAAACCCTACTTTCTCCTCTCACTATATAAGCTAACCGGAACCCTAATTTCATTTCCACCAAGCTTTTCTTCTCTCTACCAACTCTTCACTTTCAATAGCAGACGGAGGTTAAAGAGACGGCGCTGCTTAGCTGTCCGCCTTGATCAAGCCGCAGCTTCGTCTTGGCCCTCTAATTTTGTTGTAGAATACTCTTTTTTACTGTTTAGATTCAAATTGTCAAAAAAGAAACTATTCAAATGGCCGCAAAACCATCCAAGGCTGATAAGAAGATTGCTTATGATGCTAAGCTCTGCCAATTACTGGACGAGTATAGCCAGATCTTGATCGCGCAGGCTGATAATGTTGGGTCGAACCAGTTGCAGAACATCAGGAGGGGTCTTAGAGGTGATTCTGTGGTGCTCATGGGTAAGAACACTATGATGAAAAGGTCTATTAGAGTTCATGCTGAGAAGACAGGGAATACAGCCATCCTTAACCTTCTCCCTCTCCTTCAGGTATGTTGCTCTAAATTTACGTTCTTTTTTGGTTTTGAGCTTTTGGGTTCTTTTATTTTATTGCTATGCTAATATAGATTGTATAATTTCAATTTGGGGAGGTCTAAATGCCCTTACTAGTATGAACTTTGATATATTTTGTATCTTACTGTGAAAACTAGGAACTCGTTAAATTTGTTAATGACTGGTGTTTGCGATTTCTTTTCTTGAATCAGGGCAATGTGGGGCTGATTTTCACCAAGGGTGATCTCAAGGAAGTGAGCGAAGAGGTTGCTAAATACAAGGTGCAGTGACTGGTCTTTTTTTTGTATCTAATTTCACATGATTATTAATTCCTGTTGAAGTTATGATTTTGCCTGATTGGTTTGAGTACAACGCTGTTGATTCTGTAAATACAATTTTTGATAATATAAATTGCCTGTGCGAAGTGTGTATAACCTGAACATGATTTTTTAGAAAGCCTAATAGAATATTCCGAAGTTTGGTTATGCTGTTTTTACCATTCATTTGTTTTTGTGGATCAACAACATGTTTTAGGATTTGGAGTGTTTGATTGGAAATTGTGGTTTTGTATGAAACTCGTACGTTTTAATGGTCTTTTTGATTTGTAGTGGATAGTTAAAACGTTTTGATCAAAATAATGCTTCGGATAGTAAATTATTTCACCAATTCTGCAGAAATCTAGCTGAATTCATTCAAGAGTTTGATAATCATATCTGATAATTACCTCTGTTAAGCGGGCTAGTACATTGGTGGTCAACTGGGCAGTTTATTTATGTTTTTGTTGCATGAGAAGACAACTTATTTTTTTATCACTTTGTTGCTTGTACTGGTACTGCAAGATTTGTTGACATTAGTTGTATGCAGTGATAACTTTTCACATCTTCTGTACTTCTGAATGGAAGATTATATTTTCTGAAGATGCACATCGACTTAATGGATGTGCCATGCTCTGATATTATAATTGCTATATGCATGCGTCTCTAATATATTTACCATTCTGAATATACAGGTTGGAGCTCCTGCTCGCGTTGGTTTGGTTGCCCCAATTGATGTCGTTGTCCCTCCTGGCAACACAGGGCTCGACCCTTCCCAGACCTCTTTCTTCCAGGTCTGTTATCTGAAATATATGTTGATGATGTTCCTTGTTGCTACTGTATCTTGAGAATCTTAATGATTGTTTTTATGGTGTAATTTAGGTGCTCAATATTCCCACCAAGATTAACAAGGGTACTGTCGAAATTATCACTCCTGTTGAGCTGATCAAGAAGGGTGAGAAGGTTGGATCTTCTGAAGCTGCTCTTCTTGCAAAGCTTGGCATCAGGCCATTCTCTTATGGTCTTGTTGTCCTGTCTGTTTACGACAATGGCTCCGTCTTCAGCCCAGAGGTGCTGGATCTGACTGAGGATGACCTTGTTGAGAAGTTTGCTACTGGTGTCTCCATGGTCACATCGTTGGCTTTGGCTGTCTCATACCCAACTCTGGCTGCTGCACCATATATGTTCATCAATGCCTACAAGAATGTCCTGGCCGTTTCAGTTGCAACTGATTATACCTTCCCACAGGCAGAGAAAGTGAAGGAGTACTTGGAGGTATGTACAATCGTGAATCTTTAATCCTATATTTTCCTACCATTTTTTTTTTTTGGTAGATCTCATTTATGTTGCTCTCGTTGCAGGATCCAAGCAAGTTTGCTGTCGCTGCTGCTCCAGTTGCAGCTGCAACTGCTGGTGCTGCCCCTGCTGCTGCCGCCAAGGAAGAGGAAAAGAAGGAAGAGCCAGCTGAGGAGTCTGATGATGACATGGGTTTTAGCCTATTTGACTAAGTTTCATATAGGTTTCTACCATAGGACTCGTATATGTGGATTTGTCTTTCAGTTATAGTTTTGTTGACTCAATATTCTGGAGAAATTTTTGTGGAGTTATCTGTCGAGTTTCACATACATTTTTAGGATGTTACTTGTTTCTTGATAATTGTTAGTTTTCGTTGGATTGAACCCTTTACTCTCTTGTTTATCATGTGTATTATTTTTATTTGTTTGTTATATCCTTTTTACTTCAGATTAATGTGGGAAAAATGGCTTAATTGCAAAAGAATGTTTCTGAGGTAGCAGTTGATTTCAAAATTTCCATGGTTAATTATGTTCAGAATGTAAAATCTTAAGTTGTGAATGAATAGAATTGCTAATTCACGTAATCGTCTTTCAATGCAGGCAAGTATTAGAGATTTTTACATATTTATTTGTAATATAAACGAAGTTGGGCTTCAATTCTTGGTTTCCAAACATTTATTTTTCATATATATTTGGTGATATTCTATATCTCTCTTCATTCTCATAAAAATTAATTTTACGCTTTTAAATTTTACATAGACTTCTTCTACCCTAAAAGTTATGAGTTTTAGTAATATTAATAATTTTTGAAAAAAAAAATTATATTTTACAACTATTTAATAAATATTTAATGGATTTAATTTTTATAAATCATGAAAGTTGAAGTGCTATAAAATTCTTTATGAAAATAACAGCTTTGTGAGTCCCCTTAATGTACATGATGACAAATTTTGGGTTTTTACTAATTTAATATTGTAAGTTTTAGGCCCGTTAATGGGATCCTTCATAACGTGCAATTTGGGCTATGAATTCTATCAAGCAACTGTTGCTTTCGTTGTATTTTGTTTCTTAGTGGGGTATTCGAATTCGAATTACTGCCAGGTTGTATTCGTTAGACTATATCATGGTGTGCTTCGTTGTATTTTTATTGTATTTTTAATAATTATGCATTCATCATTAAACTATATCATGGCGTGTTCCGTTGTATTTTTTATTGTGTTCTTAATAATTGTGGAGCTAAGAGGTTAAGGTTAGTTATAGCATGGTGTTCTATCATTTGTATTACCAAATGATTATACTTTATCCATGAAACAAGATAATTAAAGTGATATGACAAGATAATTATGGATTAAGCTTAAAGTCAAATCAACAATACGTATGTTTTTATGTGTGTATTTACGTATTTATATTACAAGATTTAATGATTAATTAATGACTTATGACTTGCAATTAGGGAGGCAAATGGTCAAATCACTCTCCATGTAATGCAATCCACCATAGTACTATCATATACATATACGAGAATAATAATAAGGTTGGTCGGTCATAAATAATAAGTTTGTTCCTTCTAGAAGATGTACATTGACCCTATAAAAATCAAAACTTCCCATTTTCAATTGGTGTTTGGGATTTAAATAATCTTCAAATTTATCTTAATTAAGATTAGGATATAAATCTTTGAGTAATCCTCAAAATTCTTAGGTTAGATTAATGTATTAATAGTAAGCATTTTCAACATGTATTAGCAATTGAGCTACAAATGAAACTCTCTTTTTCCCACTTAATATTTCCAAGCATATATGCCAAATTGATCACATAAAGCTATTGACCTTGATTAACAAGTGTGTATTTTCTCTAATGTTATTTATTTATTTAAGATAATACTTCCTCCGTTTTATAATTTTTGTCCTACTTTCTTTTTTTTCATTCGTCTTAAATTGTTGAATTGTTTTCTTTTTTAGAAGGTGATCAATAATATTTAAAATTTATTATTTTATTCTTATTTAATATGCTTCTTTGTCAATAAAATATAATAGTCAAACTACTATATTATCATTAATTAAACCTTGATTTAAACAAAATTAACATATCAACCTTTAATCTTTCAATAAATCTTTATTTAATCAAAATTATTTTATTATAATTTGATTAATTTCAATAGTAATTTAACGTGAAACATTTAATTTTTATAGATATTAAAATAAGGGTATATTCGAAAAAAAAAAATGAAGCAAAAATTATACTTTACAATATTAACTAAATTTTCTTAATCTACAGTCAAGTCAAACGAGGACATAAATTATGGATAAGATAAAACTAAAAATAATTAACAATGAATAAAAATGAAAAATCTGCTATATGATAAAGCTAAGGTTATGTTTGGTTAAATGTAATGCAATATAATGTAGTCAAAGATGTAATATAATGAAAAATGTAATGGAATATAATGTAATTAAGATTTCATACTATGTTATGTTTGGTAACGGTAATATAATTGATAAAATTTATGGAATGTAATCATCATTTCATTTTTATATTTATTTGTAAATATGTAATATAATGTAATTAAAACACTACCACAACCAGTCACATTATCATCACCACTCCACCACCATCACTATAACCATCACAACCACCAACCACACCACCATTACCACTCCACTACTATTACCACCACCACAACGACTACTCCACCACCACCGCATCAAACATCACTTCACCACCACCACCGCTACCACATCATTAATATATATATATAAACTAAAAACTATTCTTCGTATTAAACTATTAAAGATCATTTAGATTTATAAATTTATTTGAAATAAAAATTAAAAGAAGGTAAGCCGAAAAGAAATGTAATTTAAGGGTGATCATTCGGTCAATTTGAGTAAAATTTTTAACCAAAAAAAATTAATCGAATTTTTTTACTTAACCAAATTAATTTTGATTCTTAATCGAACTAAAGTTAAAGAAAATAAAACTTAATTAACCGACTGAATTTAACTGAAATTTATGATTAACCGACTTTAACTAATAAAAATTAATCTAAGTTATTAATTACTACTTAATCAAAATAAAAACTGAAATATTTTAATTTTTAATTTTATTATCTACTTAGTCAAAATGATGTAGTTTTGAGAATCGATTAATTTGATTAATTCGTTTAAATTAATTTTTAATTAATCACCGAAATTTTAATTTGCTTTAACCGAACATTTATTTACCAAACAAAATTGGCCAAATTAACCGAATTAATCGAATTAACTGAATTGGCAGAACCGAATGCTCATCCCTAATGTAATATAACAAAATAAAAGTTAATTAAGTCATTATAAATTAAATTTTTTTTCATGTATTTTCATTGAATAAATTAAATTACAATATAAAATTATGGCTATTTTGATATTTTTAGTATTTTTTATTCTATTTTTTCCATTCCTATAACAAAATAAAATAATAAAATATAATTTTTATTCCGTGTTGCATATTAAACACTAGTTTTTATTATGTAATGGTGGTGGTGGTGGTTATGATTGAGATGGTGGTGACAGTGGCACAAAGTGATGGTTGTAGTGGTGATGCTAATGATAGAGCGCTAGTGGTAATGTTAGTGGTTGATGTGGTGGTGGCGGTTGAGGTGGAGGCGGTGGAGCAGTGGTAATTGTGATGGAGCGATGATGATGGAGCAATGGTAGTGGTAGTTGAGGTGGTGGGGAGGGGGGTGATCGTTGTGGCGTAATGGTGGCAGTGGTGGAGATGGTGGTAGTGGCGGTGGAGCAGTGGTTAACCGATGGTGGTGGTGGTGGCACTGTGCTGGTGATAGAGTGTTTAAGGTGATGTGTGGTGGCTGTGGTTATGAGGTGGTAGTTGTCACACCTTACCTTACTGTTAGATATGACATGTCGCCCGTAATATACTTAATAAGCACTTAAGCCTTATAAATGTTTACTAAGTATACTACAAGGGACTTAATACTGTTGATTCATTCATTTATATCTTATAGAAAAGTAGATTTAATTATTAAAAGTAAAACTCCTTTTAATGTTTACTAAGTATAATACAAGGGAAACCTTAATACTGTTGATTCTTCATGTTATATCTTATAGAAAAGTAGATTTAATTATTAAAAAGTAAAACTCCTTAGTTTTTGCTTTCATCATGTTATAAAGAAAATGTCTCTTTTTTTTTTTTTCGGTTAATTTACTAAACATATGAAAACATAACTTCGGCATTAAGGCTCAATATGATTTCTTCCAAGCATCAATTATAATTAGGCAAAAACATAAAATGGTTCGCATAATCCATAAGTCCATGGATGGTTTAATTACATACTGAAATCCTTTTCAAACCTTAGATACATAATAGAAATTCATACAATCATAATTTACATGTATCTGCTCAAATAACATAGATGTTCTGTTAATGTTTAATGCATCATACATATTCCAAAAGAAGTTAAATATACAATAGCTACATCAGTAGCATATTATCTAAATCAAATAAAAATGATCCTCTCCTAGTTCTTTATCCTTGCCTTTTCCTGCGATAGCACAAAAGCAACTATCGCTAAGCATTTCTACATCAAACAAAAACGATCTTCTCCTAGTTCTTTTTCCTTGCCTTTTCCTGCGATAGCACAACAGCAACTATCGCTAAGCATTTTGCTTAGTGGTGTACTATTATAAAATAAACACAAATTTATCAAATCAAACTATTCTAGCAGGAACTATAAAGTTGAGGATATTACAGTAGTGTTAAATAGCCTTGAATGATAAAGTTTTTATTGGGATAACTTGATGTAATTGGTATTACATGTGCTTAATGTAATAGACAATACATGTATTTTTTTTATGTAATGAATATTACATCAAATTAAGTAACGAAGATTATATATGTAATCTCAATTACATTACATTGTCTAAAAAAAAAAATCTAATCAAACAATGCAATCAATCATATAATGTAATCTTCATTCCATTACATGATTGATTACATCATACCAAACATGGCTTAAGGATAATTAATAAATAATTATTAAAAGAAAAATTATGAATTGTAATAAGTAATTCTATAATATATAGGTTGATAAGATCAAACCAAGCCAAGAACTCCACTAATAGAAATTGGAGTGCGCAACGAGATAAGATTTCCTATAATTCCCAGTTCGGCACGGAATTTATCCCATACAATGCATCGCTGTTCTAACTATTGTCGTCAATTTTTTTTTTTTTTTTTTTTTTTTTTTTTTCTTTTTTTTTTTTCTTTTGTTTATCTTTAATTTTAACTAAAAGGGTTTAAAATGCTATAAATTAGAATTAAAATAATAAATAAATAGGATAAGATATAATCAAATAGTCCACGGGCTGAATAAATACGATCTTTCTTGTAGACTTTTAACTATATGTAATTTTGATATTTAGTTTTCCTGGAATTAATAAATGGGTAAAATCGCTTTTAACAGTCTAAGCGATTCTACTACAC